TTATGCCGTTGGTAATCCTTATGGCCGTTGGTAATCCTTATGGCCGTTGGTAATCCTTATGCGGTTGGTAATCCTTATGGCCGTTGGTAATCCTTATGCCGTTGGTAATCCTTATGCCGTTGGTAATCCTTATGCCGTTGGTAATCCTTATGGCCGTTGGTAATCCTTATGCCGTTGGTAATCCTTATGCCGTTGGTAATCCTTATGCCGTTGGTAATCCTTATGGCCGTTGGTAATCCTTATGGCCTTGGTAATCCTTATGCCGTTGGTAATCCTTATGCCTGTTGGTAATCCTTATGGCCGTTGGTAATCCTTATGCCGTTGGTAATCCTTATGGCCGTTGGTAATCCTTATGCCGTTGGTAATCCTTATGGCCGTTGGTAATCCTTATGGCCGTTTGGTAATCCTTATGCCGTTGGTAATCCTTATGCCGTTGGTAATCCTTATGGCCTTGTAATCCTTATGGCCGTGGTAATCCTTATGGCCGTTGGTAATCCTTTTCCCTTTATGCCGTTGGTAATCCTTATGGCCTTGGTAATCCTTATGGCCGTTGGTAATCCTTATGCCGTTGGTAATCCTTATGGCCGTTGGTAATCCTTATGCCGTTGGTAATCCTTATGCCGTTGGTAATCCTTATGCCGTTGGTAATCCTTATGCCGTTGGTAATCCTTATGCCGTTGGTAATCCTTATGGCCGTTGGTAATCCTTATGGCCGTTGGTAATCCTTATGGCCGTTGGTAATCCTTATGCCGTTGGTAATCCTTATGCCGTTGGTAATCCTTATGGCCGTTGGTAATCTTATGGCCGTTGGTAATCCTTATGCCGTTGGTAATCCTTATGGCCGTTGGTAATTCTTATGGCCGTTGGTAATCCTTATGGCCGTTGGTAATCCTTATGCCGTTGGTAATCCTTATGGCCGTTGGTAATCTTTATGCCGTTGGTAATCCTTATGGCCGTTGGTAATCTTTATGGCCATTGGTAATCCTTATGGCGTTGGTAATCCTTATGCCGTTGGTAATCCTATGGCCTGTAATCCTTATGCCGTTGGTAATCCTTATGCCGTTGGTAATCCTTATGCCGTTGGTAATCCTTATGCCGTTGGTAATCCTTATCGCCGTTAGTAATCCTCATGCCGTTGGTAATCCTTATGGCCGTTGGTAATCCTTATGCCTGTTGGTAATCCTAATGCCGTTGGTAATTCTTATGGCCGTTGGTAATCATTATGGCCGTTGGTAATCTATATGGCCGTTGGTAATCCTTATGCCTGTTGGTAATCCTTATGGCCGTTGGTAATCCTTATGGCCGTTGGTAATCTATATGGCCGTTGGTAATCCTTATGCCGTTGGTAATCCTTATGGCCGTTGGTAATCCTTACGCCTGTTGGTAATCCTTATGGCCGTTGGTAATCCTTATGCCGTTGGTAATCCTTATGGCCGTTGGTAATCCTTATGGCCGTTGGTAATCCTTATGCCGTTGGTAATCCTTATGCCGTTGGTAATCCTTATCGCCGTTGGTAATCCTTATGCCGTTGGTAATCCTTATGGCCGTTGGTAATCCTTATGCCGTTGGTAATCCTTATGCCGTTGATAATCCTTATCGCCGTTGGTAATCCTTATGCCGTTGGTAATCCTTATGGCCGTTGGTAATCCTTATGGCCTTTGGTAATCCTTATGCCGTTGGTAATCCTTATGGCCGTTAGTAATCCTTATGCCGTTGGTAATCCTTATGGCCGTTGGTAATCCTTATGCCGTTGGTAATCCTTATGCCTGTGGGTAATCCTTATGGCCGTTGGTAATCCTTATGCCGTTGGTAATCCTTATGCCGTTGGTAATCCTTATGGCCGTTGGTAATCCTTATGCCTGTTGGTAATCCTTATGGCCGTTGGTAATCCTTATGCCTGTGGGTAATCCTTATGGCCGTTGGTAATCCTTGTGCCGTTGGTAATCCTTATGGCCGTTGATTACCCACAGGCATAAGGATTACCAAAGGCCATAAGGATTACCAACGGCATAAGGATTACCAACGGCCATGATTTCCCGTGAGAACAAAATGATTTCCCATGGGTTGGTACCAGTGTTTCTTTTTGTGCGCACGAAATTATTTTTATGCATGCATGGTGCTTAAAAATGCATAAAAACGCATAAAAATGCACAAAAATGCACGAAAATGCATAGTAATATATGAAATGCAACTTATGCAGGGAATTTCATATTTTTAAGAAATTTTATATTTTCCTACTCTGTTAAATTTGAATTTGGTATACATGTCGAATAACACAATTATTATTCGGCAAGAAAATTTCAAACAAATGACAAGTATTTGTTTTGTTATAAAATACAAGCCCGTTTTTTATAACAAAACAGCCATTCATAAAAATCGTCGTGTTTATTCATTTTGGTTTTCAAAACTTTCATTAATTTTTCTTAGGTGAGGCATAGTAACCATGAACACATGAAAAAATGCATGGTTACGGCGAAGCCTAAGTAGGCGAACAGACCCCCCTCCCAAAATTCCACTCAAGATTGTGGCAAAACGGCTAATCGTATCAAAATGGTGTAAAAGGCAATCGTGCAGACCTTGCTGGGTAGATGATGCCCGTCAGGTCTAGAAACATGACAATCTTATTTTAACCCATTTTAAATCGATTTTAAACTTTCAAACGACTGGAAAATTCGCTTTTGCCATGCAAAGGTTGTGACTCGTCTGTGTTTTAATGTGCGGAAATCTATAACGCGTCATTTAGAACAAACCCGAGCGAAATCGGATAAGAAATGAAAAAGTTTTCTTGGTAGCATCTGCGGCCAGTTACGTTACTTGTAATATTTCTTCATTACTTATAACAGTTTCTATTAGCAACCAGCACAATAGAAACATGTAAGCTCTGCACTTACATATGCAAATATCTAAACATGTAAATATGTATGTACATGTATGCACTTTTAGAAATCCAGTATTAAAATAGTACCAAGCGGTATTCAGAAATGACTACAAAAATGGTAACTAGTGCTCTGACGTAATCATGTTTCGTTTTCTCCCATGTGAGAAAAATTTTTCACGGTGAAAATGCAAATTCTCTTTCACGTTTTCCATCATAACTTTGTTTAAACTGAGCATTACGAAAAATCCTGAAACACGTGTTTAATCATTTATCTAAGGATACAATGGTCAAATGGTCCGAATGGCAAATGGTCCGAAACGCATATAATTTGTTATTTTATTCACCTAAAATTATAAATCATGAGATGAACATTGATGTAGCATATAATCCTTTATTTGATCATAATTTGTGAACACTTATTTCTGTACAGAGTAACAATGTCTGTAAAATACATGGTAGTTTTAGATATAATAAACTTCATTAAACTTTTTTCCTGGTGGAAGTGTCCCCAGGATTGAAGCTACATTTCCACGTAATGCCGAGTCGCTGGAGGAGAAACGTTGTGTTGTAGAGCATATTATTTTACTACACGATGATAACCTCTTGTTTCCCCCTTTTAAGCAAGCCTCACCTAAGTTTTTTTTAAGAACTAGTTTATTCGTATTGAAAAATGAAAAATATTACATAAAAATACAAAAAATGACGAGGAAAATATTTTAAATAGCATAACGATTTCTCAGTGAACCGAATATTAAAAAACATGCATTATTCCAACAATATTTTCATGTAAGTTATTTTCGTGCATTTTCATGCACTTTTTCAGATTTTTAGTGGGTGTTATTAAACGTTTAAAAACATTTTCGTGCACTAATTTCGTGCAGGTGTTACTTAACAGCAGAAACACTGGTTCGTACAGACCCCAAAAAATTCATAATTTTTGTTAGGCTGGGGAAGACAGTCTGACAATAAGACCATAATTGAGGAGCTGAGAAGGAGAAGATTAACATAATCCAGCGATAACATGCTCATTCAACTGCATTTAACATATGAAAATCAAGAACATATGTAAATTCTAGTAGTATTATCTAAGATTTAACATACTCATAAAATCTTCATTTGCCAAATTTGAAATGTTTTTCGCTAAAAGGTACGTTGAAACCAGTGTGTGCAAAAAGGCAGCCTTTTTGCTTTTTCTGCATGCCTTTTTGCCTTTTTGCCTTTTTCAATGCCTTTTTGCCTTTTTGCGTGCCTTTTTGCCTTTTTGATGCCTTTTTGCCTGTTTGATGCCTTTTTGCTCGATTTTTGACGATTGAACCCAATTTATTGTCGTTTAAAACGTATTAAAGAAATTGCAGAATCTGCAATATGTTTTTAAAATTGTATTGGAGGGTTCTGACTTTCATCAATACTTTAAATTAGTTGAATACTTTTCCCCAAATATCTTCAGCGTTGTTTCTACATCGCCATCAGCTTAATTAATCAAATTTTGACACTAGAGCTTATATTTGCGAAAAGTATTAAAAACGCAATGAATAAGTTCCACTTTAATTTTATCACGGGACTCTCGTCTCATCTCGCCCCAAATTAGCAAAAGGGCAAAACGGCAAAAAGGCACAGATTTTTGTGGGGCAAAAAGGCAAAGAGGCAGGCAAAAAGGCACTGCCTGCCTTTTTGCTCTGCACACACTGGTTGAAACCGTTGTTCTAAAAATGCCGCCAAAAGGGTTTTCGCCAAACTGCGACTTCTAATTAACAATTGTGAAAGTTCTGTGAAAAATCTGTAATTAGGTACTTAAATACATGAATATTTGTAAAGTATGATCATGTAAAGTTGAATACTATAAATATGTTCTAGAATTTCGAATGTTATTTCCTTCAGAATCTCTACAATGCGATCTAAAGAAAACATCCTCTGCATGAAAACTCTGTTTATTGAACATTCTCAGAAGTACATCTGAATATATTTCAATATGTAGAGAAGTGCGCCTAGCGCAAGAGACTGGCATAAAAATTTGGATATCTCGAAATATAGCAGACTTGGTTTACTAAAAATTTATGATGATAAAGTAGTAACCCTACCCTACAAGCACCCTCAACCATAGTTTGCTAGGTTTCGTGTGTGGCTTCCACAACCACTTTCTTCCTGAAAACTCCCAAAAAATTTTTCTCGCCCACCTGGAGCTAGCTTGCTGCATTTTCAATGTGACCACATGAGGGAAAGTTTAGGGCAATTTCCTCTCGGCAAAAAAATCAAAAATTTTTAACTTTTTGTGCATTATTTAAAGTAATACATCATGATTTTTTAGGTCAACATAAGTTTGTTTAAACTTCAACAAAAAAATTATTTTTAAATTCGCGTGCGGAGCCACGCGACCAGTCTCCTACGCTAGGCGCACTTCCCTATGTACATGCATACCTAAGTACTTTGCCTCAATATTACATTTAGTACTGCGAATTGTCGCTTATTCCCCGCTCGTGTGACCGTGGTTTCCTCCTTCGTCCAGGTTCATGTCGTCGTCACCAAAGATGACTTCCAACTTGAATTTTGGACGGGAAAGGAATTTCTCGACAATCAAGTCCCTTCGATACAAGTCATCCTCAAAGTGGTTGTCGACGAGGATGTTGAGATGGGGGAACAGCTTCGCCGTCTCAAATCTCCCGTTCTCACCATCAACACTGTAATGAATGGGTTCCTGTGACTTCAAAGTGGTTGACAACGTTTCATTTCGCTCATCAATGCTCACCACGAACATGTCGAATCTGTGCAAAATGGATTTCCATATGGGTGCAAGCGAATAAGACAATGACACAAACTCGAATATTTTTAGTACCCGGTGAGAACTTTCTTTTGGGCTTCGAAATCATCTCCAGACTGACCACGAGACTTGAGTATCCTGTCCACCACCCTGGGCGCAAGGGTCATCTTCCCTTGCGCCAGGACATCCCTCGCATTTGCTACAAGCTGAGACGTTGAATGGTTTGCATAAACAAATAAAAATGATCACCACAAGTTTACTCATACTTGGGTTAATTAAATAGCTAAATATATTTAATTAATAATGGCTGAAATATTGTCATAAATTTATTCAGCTGGCTGAATTTCTATAATTCTCTATGGCCCACAGTACACTCAAATGTCAGTTTTGAGTCCTTCTTGTCAGTTTGAAGGTGGTTTGTGTGGTGCTGAATAATTCATTCCAAGCAATAAAGTTATTTAATCTGCTGCTGGGTGGGTGTGGCTGTGCAGGAGGAAGCGATTTATTAGAACAACTTATGTCAACTAATCGTTGATAATGTCAAAATTTCTTGATTCATTTACTACATATTACGTATTAGTTATGTTATTGCTAGAATAGATACAACGAAATATATGTGGAACCTTAATTGTTACTTTTGCAGGGAGCATACATAGTTATTAATTTTCTAATGTTAACTAATGTCTATCTGACGCGACTGTAATTGCACTGTCAATTGAGGTAAATGTCGTGGTTGAAGTCGTCGTTGCACCTTCCGCCGCCGTCTCAACCTCACTGGAGAATATGACAAGCAAAATCATGATAAAACCGACCTCTGGAAGTTCCATGATCTCATTGGAGAATAAAGCAGGGAAAATGGCCACCATGTACTTGGGCATCTCCTTCGGTGGGGGCATCAGCAGATCCGTGACGACCTGGGGGAAAAAGTTCAACATGACGTACTTCTTGTCTTCGTTACTCCGAGGGCACCAAACCCCAACCCCGTTCGCTTCACGACCGTACATCGCCAGCAATCTGCAAATTCCTCAGAGTTACGTCACCAATTTTTTACAACAATAATTTCCTGAAAATAAAATTTTGATCGCGGTGTTTCTTATTTCAACTCACGAGTTTGGTTCGCTGTCAACGGCGTCCTGGTAGTTGGGAGGGCCAACTCTCGACCTGAGATAGTCATCAGCGGTCATGGCCAGAGTGACGTCCTTGTCCTGCTCTTTCTGTCGAACTACTTGGACGCTTTCCAAGAGGAAGAGCAGCATGTCTCCCACTAACTCATCCGGCAGTGGGATGGGTACTTTTCTATACTGGGGAACTTTCACCCTCATCACTGGCTCTTCCTCCTCCCCCTCGCCCTCTGGACCCTTGACGTCGGTCGTACTTTCGCCACCAGCCTCACTATCCGCCTTACTGCTAATTCCTCCAGCAACGTCAGTGTCTCCGCCATTCTCAACGTGATGTACTTCTGAGTTGGGGTCATAATTCATGAGATCATTTCCGTCTTCCTCCTGAGCCAGAGTTTCCTCCTCCTCGATGAGTTCATCGTAATGGGATGGAATTCCAAATAGGCGACGAACTCCGTCTTCATCCAACGTGATGTAACGTTCTTTTATTACCTGAAGGATATGCATACACCTCTGGCATATTTATCAAATGAACGATACATAATACTATCAACTATTACCGTAAAATCACCCCGGAGGTGATCTTTGATTTCGGTCACAGCTCCAGTTTCAAGTAAGAACCTTTGGATGGCAAGAACACCACAAGACTCCAACATGGACATGAGTCTGTTCTGAATCATGTCAGCGACGGGATCCTTTGGCGGTGATGGGGATTTGGCAGGAGGTGGCGTTGGCCCATTGTGGTGATCAAGGTCTGTTTCCTCCTCATGGGTCGAAGCACCTGGTAAGAAATGTGTCCCAATTTCAAGGGTTAAGTACATCATATATTTAAGTGTATGGTGCTATTGTATGTATTATTAAATTATTACCATCATCCTCATCGTTTACATTTTGCGGAGATAAGCTGCGCTGTTTCGGAGTGGGTGTGGCAGTGGTTTCCCCAATTCCGGGAGCAATCAGTTCTGCCTCTTTCTGCGCGGCAGCGAGATAAATTGCTTCGGACTTTGCCTTGTGTCGCCGTTCTGCTTCGTCCGTTAGTGAAATCTGCAAAGACAGTACGAATTTCCGAAAAAAGTTTGCGTACATAAAGCAACATACATAATTCATCATACTAAATTTCGCTTCGCCTTGTTTTCCATGCAGAGCAACTCGTGCTCGAATTCCGACTTTATCGTTGCCACAAGAGTGGCAGAATTAGCACCACGAATAAGTTTCACCGGTTTTCCACCCTGAAACAGTCAGCATTTAATGATAAGGCAAACCGTTTATGATTACCTCCTTCGTTCTTATACCCCCATGCAAACCCAAGTTGGCTCACTCTGTCCCCGAAATACACGCAGGTCGGAAATATTGTCAGAGTTCACAGTGGCCAAGGTTAGCCTGTCGTCGTTTGCATCCACTTTCACCTTTTTGAGGAAACTTGCCATACTGAGGCATGGACCGCACCAACCAGAGTACACTTCCACGACTGACATTATAATTCAGCAATATTGAGTCGAATATTCAACAATGCGAAGGAGAATGGTAGTTATTTGTCTGTTTCATCTCACCAACGAGTCCATCCTTCCTCAAGAGAACTTTCCACTGCGCCTCAGTCTCGATTTCTAGCTGGAGTGAGACCTCGCCCCCCTTCTTCCTGGCCATCACCTTTGACAAGGAGATTGCTGCGGCAGCACTCTGCAACACAAAATATGCATTGCAAAAATACGTAGTAAGTTTTAAATTCCGGTTAGATTAGGACAAAATCTAAATCTACACAAGTAACATAATGACTAAAAATAGGCTGCGGCGATAAGTATACTTCTGTCCATCCATCCGGAGAGTTGCCTTCTTTCCCCCGTTTCTCCAACTCTTGGGCGAGATTGAACACCTTCCTGGCCAGCATTTTGAAGTTGTGATTTTAAAATCTTTAGTTAAAATTACAAATACTATGCTTGACTTCGTCCTGGACAGAGTACGCGTTTCTAATGCCTATATAACTCTGGCTGCTTCGGAGTAACTTTGGCGTTTATCCCCAATTCTTCTAACGTAGCTCGTGGTGCAAGTTTCCTATGCTGTTGCATTTCTTAAAATATTGTCAAACGTCCTTTCTGTCCGTTGTGCGTGAAATGAAGTGAAAATGAGCAACATGCATGGAGCTGAACTGCTCACAAGCGTGCCTATGCTTTCCCCCATTGTCAATCACATTCGTTTTCTTGGTAATCATCACATAATAATAAGACACACAATGACGAGAAAACCACGAAATCGTTTATTCTTCTCAAAGCCTCAGAAGACAGCACACAACAAAAGATTTCCATTGTTTGCTCCTCTCACCACAGAAAATTGCGGAATCGTGGCCATCACAATTACCCAAACTTGCACGACTTTCCACTCATTCTCGAGCCATATACTATTGTCACTCTATGTATTTCGCGTGCGTATATGAATGTACAATGTACAATGTATGTATGAATGACATTGTACAATAAATTATGGGTGGATTATTATGAGAATTATGGATTAAGTGCATTTTCTAACCTCTTCCGCTGTTACTTTCATTTTGAGGAGTTTCGAAGCAATATGTCCCCCTTGTTGGAACATTTTAAGCTGCTGAAGCTTTGCCAATTTGTCCTTGTCGAGTGATGAGGCTGACGACTTTCGACGTGTCGTGTTGGAAGAACTCATGATTGAATTGTAGTTTTCAGGTTGTTAAAACTCAATCTTTGGAAGAACGTATAACCTCGCAATAAATGTGCAATGGCTTGATCGCCTGACCACTGACGACTGATCGAAGCATGAAAAACCTCGTCGGGCAGTGACACATGTCAGTTCATGGGGTTGAAATAGAAAAATGGGGATAAAGACATAAATATGAGCTCCGACATGCAGTCATTATTATTGGGAGTTTGGGGAGCAGTCAATTATCTGGAGAGAAAGTGGAGAGTCCAGCAGAATATGTGTGTATAAGACCAGAAGGAGAGTCAGAAATCAAAGAAAGAGATAATAATAATACGAGTATGAGAAACTTTTTTGACTTTTCTTTCTTTCTTTCTATGCAAGGCAAAATCTGGTGGCGTATGGGGGTCGGTGGTGATAAATTGCAGCAGCAGCAGCCACTTCCTCCTCCATATTACTCGTCGTCGATGACTCCATATATACATACTAATGCCTACCTGCCGTTATACATATAGTATAATATTAGGAAGTGTAATAACACGGCAAAATTTGTCTCTGACCACGGATTTCTTTGTGCACATTTAAAGAATGTGAAAAATGAGGTGGCATTGTGTACAGACGTGTTTCATGTCAATGATACATTAGGCGATGAATGCACAAGTATTTCTTTTATTTTAAGACCACTTAAGGCATGCTCATTCATACCCAATGCAGTGCGTGGTCCTTTATTATGTTCACGTAAGTTTGTCGAGCCCTGTTGTTCAGAGTGACGGATTACGATTTGGACGACTGACTATGCAACGCGGTATGAATGTCATTACGAAGATTAACGCTGTGGGGGGGAGACACTACCATTGTGGACACAACTAAATCGTATTGGGTGATATCTTTACTAGAGGGAATTATTGGCTTATCGACCATTAAATGTTGTGTGCATTAACAGATTTGCACCGGGGTTATCTTCGTTCCCACAGTAGTGCCAGGATTAATTAGAGATCAAGAAGATGTGGATGTCGTTATCGCACAATGATGAGAACGGATATAAAGAAAATGAGAGACTTGCCTAAGATATCACGATGCGTGTTGGGTTGTCGTGATGAGAGTGGGTCTTGATGATGACGGTGGTTATTAAAACTAATTGACACGAGCAGAGTGATAAACGTATCAGTCCTTCGTTGTCTTTTGTGCTGAATGTTAATTTCTCATCAGTTAATGGGTCCGGAAGCAACACAAAAGAACATGTCGTGAGGACTCCGGAGTATATGTCATGAGAAATTATGGGCGGAGGACGTAGGACTATATCTATATAAGAGAATGACCGACCGTGGTCACCCTCTGTCATGATGTATCGATAAAACAAAGTCATTAGTTAAGGATGATCGGAAGCCATACGATAAATCAGAGGAACGTCAGACGTAAACACGGTGGACTGAACGGATGTTCAGTCAGTCAGTCAGTCAGATTTTGACCAAAAAGTTTTATCATTTTGGAATTGTCGAATTTGCATTGTTCTATTTTTACTCGAAAAATGCAAATTTTCATGTACAATAGAAGGTAGATGAAACTGAAACCGATGAAAGTCCTCTTTCAGTGGAGAGGACAATGCTGAATGAATGAATGAATGCTTTATTATACTGGCTTATTAGTACAAGAAACACAAAAATTTATGCTTAACATATGTTATGTTAACTTATCCATCTGATCACACAATCCTATGAAAACTTATTTATGTCACACAATATAAAACTGGCATAGAATTTCATATAATTTCATGAGACATTTTCATATATTTTATTTTAATATTTCACATTTTGCTAGTTCGGCGTATTATTCCATTTTGATCGGCGGAGTCGGCTACATTAGTTTTGCCACCACCTCCACAACTTCACACATGTTTACGCACGGAGAAGGAAACAACCTGAAGGGATGGCTGTTTTTTTAATTTATGCAATAATTAATTTTTAATCACATTCTCTAAAGTGCAATATATTCAAAACAGTTAATTTTCATATCATTTCCCACGCTCTTTGCTAGATTGTGCTTCATCTATAAAGTATTCAAACTAGTCTAAATTTTGTGTGTATATACTTAATTATATCACATTTACATCAGGGATTGAATAATTCAATTTGAATTGCAATTTGCAAATTTGGTGAAAATGTCGAATCCTCTACGACGTCTAACTCCTGAAGAACGGTCAGAAGAATACGAAAGGAATCCAAATCAGCCAGACAATATTGGTAATAATGATCTCGGTAATATTACTAAATAATACCTAAAAACCACTTAGCAATTGTCATTAATAATTGTCGTATTCGTATAACTTGATAATTTTGCATATTTCCTGGGGGCTTAAGGAGGGGCCGTGGGAGGTATGCGACTTCGCGATGAAAATGCTCTCTCATTTCGCCATTTTCTTCAACCCCATTCTGATGTTGTGCCTCAACCAGCTCCTACAAGATGCAGAGGCACGAGAGGTTGGTTAGCTTTAGTTATACCGGAAGCAAGTGTCCAATAGTTATCGTGCTATGTGTGTTGCAGGTGGAGTTGATCTTGTCGAAGCGACGATGGCGCTGCCCGATTTTGTTCAGGATCATTTAGTTCTCGAGTCTTTGGCTGCAGCTGCGGAGCCTTCTCAAGATATGTCCCCCTCGCGTCCTCACGCTGATCATCCCCTTGACCTGCATGTGCTGAATGATATCCTCCCAGACTTTGGTGGTTCTTCTAGTCAGAGAAACCCTCGTGGTAGAAATTCCCACAAGTATGAGCTGCTAAACAGAATCTATTTTTTATTTTTATCAAAAGAATAATGGTTAAAATGATAATTTGTTATTTGAAGTTCAAGTCGTCGGAGTGGTCATGATCCATTGGCGAATAATTTAGATATTTCAATCGGTTCTGCCTTGCCTGACTTTTTGTCTGATGGCCCGATGCAACTTAACCATGACCCAAACACAGTTAATTCCCCTTCGCCATCATCCGGAAACAGAGGCAGTAGGAATAGACAAGCAGTTGAAAATAGCTTGCCAGACGTTGAGCCTGTTCGAGGCCCCAGTTTTGATTCAAAAGAATCGCTGCGCTTGCAAATTGATCGATTAAGATCTGAAGTGACTGAGAAGAATCGCAGGTTCTTGATTAGTACAATCTACAATGTTACTAATTATGAGTCACGCAGTTTGAATGAATATTGTCATGTTATTCAATCTAGAATCAATCTACTAGAGACTGAGTTGGCGTCACAAAGGAGTACGTCAACAAATCTGGAACTATCACTCCGAACGACTGAAAGGAATCTAGTGGACGCAGTAGTAAGTGTAGTATCACGCTGGGCTAGGTTAAAATGTAAATGGAAATGTTATGCTCAACACCAATTTTTGATTTATAAGAAACGAGCAACAGAGGCTGAGCAGTTGGCTAATCCAACATGCCAACATGACATAAATTATGTTAATGGTCATGGGGATATCTTTCCAACTTCATCGTCGGAGAACGGACTACGTATGAACTCTGCGGCAATTCATAGTATTGCTCGTACATCTGAAGGTCTCATTGGGTATGGATACGCTATTTTATATGACTTTTTTACATGTTTTATCACAACAATAAAGGGAATACTTAAAATTGCATTCTTTTCGTTTAGCCAACTCTTGCACCACATGCAGGAGCTGAAGAAAATAACCGAGGATGAACCACCCAGCCAAGAGAAGACCAAGAACAGCGACAAAGAAGTCAAACCACGTAGTAGTCGTTGAGAGATGGAATTATTCTATAATCAAAATAAATATAACGTTTTCTCATGCGCACAGTTTAAAATAGAAGCTAAATACATATGTGCTAGTATATATTTTTTATTGAATTCACTCCAAATGCTATGTGTGCCTGGCCTGTTGTTGATAATGCTAAATAATTCAATTTACTTTGAAGAATATGAACCGGATTAAGTCAATTAAGTCAATGAATTAATACGATAAACAATGAGATTTATATGAGGTGATTGAATCTTCAGATACATGTATATGTATACCCATTTTGATCAATTGTCCAAGTTTTTATTTAAATTGTACCCTTTTCTTTTTTACTGTGCAACTGATTTTTATATAGCAATCCATTTTCAAACTATTTTAAAACAATTTGTGTTCTATATTTACATTAAAGTAAATGTCGCCATTTTACAAGTACAACGAATTCATGCATTCATTTTTTGTGGACTATGTTAGAATCAAAAGTACATCAAAAAAAGCATGCGATTTTTACAAAATATTTCTTTGTCCTCTTGATGTGCCTGATAGAGGCACGCTGTTGAAATATTATGGATAGAAGGTGCCGCAGGACGAATTGTTTACAAACAAAAGTTGATAATAAAATATACTAAACCAAATGATACTAGTTCAATAGTAGTGCATTGACCCACACGTTCGACTAGTAAGTTGTCAGCAGATTTATTAATTTTACATCTGTATCATTAATTCTGTATTACATAATCGTCTGTTACTGATGCATGGATATATGTAATAAATATGTACATATGTACAGCAGCTCATCCGCAGTCCGCACCTCTCACATCTCTCGGGCTAAAAGCTGTGGTGACCTTGTGCTGGATCAAGTTGTACAAGTTTATAGACTTGAAGACCTTCAAAAGTGATGAACTTAACTCTCACCTCATTATGTGTGCATATGCCGCCGGTCGCACCTAAGTGTCCATATGATATTTACCTAGTTCAAATATATCCCAGTTTATCGTATCATTGTGCATATTGACTTAATACTGATTATCGGTGCGCTCTAACTCAATTGTATATTTACATCGGTTGTAAATCCAAAAAAATTATCATGCGATTGGGACGAATTTTGCAGCAGGTAATCATATTAATTGTCAAAATTTATACTGCATCGGAATTTTATGCCATAATTAAATTTGTATTTATTTTTTGTTTCAACCACATCAGAATCTACGGTATGAAGACCTGCAAAGAATACGAGCCACGAATGTACATGTGAGCGTGAATAAAGCCACGCTGTACAGAAAACCTCTGGCCATTCGAAACGCTTCTATGCAATGGATGTACGATTTGAATGGGAAAAAATACCTGGACTTTTTTGGTGGCATTGTTACAGTCGGTGTGGGCCATTGCCATCCGTATGTCAATCAATTTCTAGACTATATAGTTTTGTAGAATATTCACTACATGTACATACGAGATATGCAAGTAAATTACCTGGATTAGGAAAGTAAATGACGCTCTCATACAACAAATCAACAAGGTATGGCACACAACCAACATTTATTACAACGAACCGTTTCACGCATATGCCGAGAAATTAGCGTCCACTCTGCCTGGAGATCTAAAGGTGCGTATTTCGCATAAAGTACTATTGAAATGGTCAATAAATTATAATTTCACGTTGTTTGTTAAATTTGCTGGGCATAGACGGTTTATCTGGTCAACAGTGGATCAGAAGCAAATGACTTGGCTTTATTGATGGCTCGAGTGTCAACTGGAAACTATGATGTGATTGCCCTAAGAAATGGTTATCATGGAATGTCTCCCAACACCATGGGGCTCACGGGGCATTCGACGTGGAAGCAAAATTCTCCACATTATTTTGGAATTCATCACGTATGCATGCATGCATTACTATTCCCAATTAACAATATTGTATTAAGTGAAGGTATTTCCAATTGATGTACATACGCAGGCCATGAATCCAGACGTATACAAAGGAATTTGGGGTGGAGAAAGTTGTAGGGATTCTCCTGTACAGACTGACCGGAAGTGTGCGTGCTCAGGGGGCGTTTGTCAAGCGGCGGACAAATATGTGGAACAGTTGGAGGAGGTGCTGACATATTCAGTCCCGCAAAGGAAAGTTGCTGCCATGTTCATCGAATCCATTCAAGTACACATGAAAAATCTAAGCATTTAGTTTAGCTTGATTACAATGATGGGCAGCCAAATGATATAGCACTGTTATAACACACATCGTGATATTCGTGATTCATTGTTCAGGGTGTGGGCGGGGTGGTGCAGTACCCGAAAGGATACGTGAAAAAGGCTCAAGACCTGATTCGGAAGAACGGAGGAGTCATAATTTCAGACGAAGTTCAGACAGGTTGAATTAAAATGTTTTTTTATAGTTACAATTATTATTATGGTAATATTAAGATAAGTAACTTGTATAAGTGACAAGGTAATTAATAATAAGGGGTGAAATTTGTCAGTTTGAAATGAAGGTTGCGTAAATGAAATGCAATAAATGCTGTATTAAATACATAGGTTTTGGGCGGACTGGGGATCACTTGTGGAATTTCGAGTCGCATGGGATAATTCCGGATATCGTCACAATGGCCAAGAGCATCGGTACAACGATAATTTAAGAAAAATTATAAAAAGATCGTCGGTCGAATACAAATACTAACATCCTTCTGTACATTCGAGACCTAATTTTGTTCTGTCTCCGCCAGGAAACGGATTCCCCATGGCCGCCGTTGTGACCACTCCCAAAATTGCTCAATCTCTCGCCAATGCCAGCCATTTTAACACTTTTGGAGGCAACCCCATGGCAAGTGCAGTGGGAAAAGCGGTCCTTGAGGTAATCGAAGAGGAGAAACTGCAACAACACTGCAAAACCGTGGGCACTTACTTTCTCAAAGAGCTTGAAAAGTTTCGAGCAGAGTTCAGCAACGTGGGAGATGTGCGAGGGAAGGGCTTCATGATAGGAATTGAAATGGTCGAAAACAAGGAGACGCGGAAACAACTGGCTCTGGAGAAAGTGTTGGACATATTTGAGGACTTAAAAGACGAAGGCCTTCTGGTTGGGCGGGGTGGTCATTATGGAAATGTAATCAGCCGCACAAAATTAATTGCACGTAATTGTACATGCTATGTATTTCATCCATTAACTCCTTTGTGCATTCTAGGTTTTCAGGCTTTCTCCACCGATGTGTGCCACCAAAGCAGATGTAGATTTTGCCCTTCCCATTTTCCGCAAAGTCTTCAAAAAACATGCGACATAAACGTTTATTTTTTCTCTCATTATTATCCCGTTCTAATATATTTTGAGAAATAAAAATTTTCAACTCTATTACTGCTAGTTTAAAAGCACTACAGTGAACTTAACATTTACAAAGAAAAGCCACAAATGGTTGACACGATCCAAACTGATCAATTTTCATCACTGGGAGGGAAAGTAATCTGCCAAGTCATGGCTGTAATTAAGCATCTATTCATGTAAGTTTTAAAGTCATCGTAGTGTCGTATGGCTTTGTCATAAACTTGATACCGTGTTTATCCCGGGGAATGCGAGAAAATTATGCAAATTGATGAGCTCGCCAAACGATGCCTGACTTTTAGCGTCAAGGTAACGCTTTAGTCTCTTGATCTTGGTTTGTCTTGTCCAGGATGCAATTCGGTTCCTCTTACACCGGTGTAGCCATGATTGACGAATCCTGTGTCTTGTCTATGTACATAATTATATGTACATAATAATAATTATCCATTTTTCACATAATAAAGGATGAAGTCTAACACATTTTTGCTATTTGTTGTAATTGCATCGGTGTCACCATTTGAGAATGGCACTCCTTCAGAAAAAGGACACAAGCACAGGAGAATCGAAACAATCCCTGTAGACGATGACAATTTGCTTCAGCCGGAGATTCCGGAAGCAGTTGAGGAAATGCTGGCGAACGTTCGCATTGCACCAAATGTGAACACCGGGAGACAACGTCGAACTGGAAAAAAGTACCCCTGGCCATCATTACAATCGCAACAAGTAATAAATCCACAATTTATATTGGAAAGGTTGTGCATACTAATTTGTATTTTTTTTGTCAGGATGAAACCAAAGAAAGCTCAATTCAAGTTCACAAAAGTGCAATATTTGACCAAGTAAATCCTGGTGAGTCATATTCACGCGAGGAATTGCTTAATGACCATGACCTCAACCCAACAGGTATAAATAGTTAATAAAACTAAACTACGTCTATGTGACGAGAAATCTATTTACATTAACTTGACTCTAAATGACAGACTCTGCGAAACTCCTTCTTGAATTGACGCATTTAAAGGAAGAGATTGACAAAGAAATTGCGAAATTACAAAATGAAAGTACATCCTCAACGACAACAAATGATGAGTCAAACGTAATCGTTAGGGCGGCTCGTGAGTTGGTTCGAAAGGCCGAGTTGGCATCTCGAAGTAAGCGACAGAGTGAAAGTGAGATTTTGCGTGAGTTTAAGAAGTATATTAAGTGGAATAAGGAATTGCATAGTTTGAGGTAAATTGTTGTCGGTAGTGCCATACCGAGCGTGCATCTACATTGACATTCCGGGAATGGTCAATCCTGTAGAAGGAGGGAAACCATTCCTTCCAGAGACCTTTAACCATGCTTGTCAAGAAAAATCCGTGGGTATGTCGTATACATTTATGCAAATAATTATATGTCCAACTTTGATTTGATATTACTTACTTCATCACTTATAAAATAAAGTGACGGAAACAGCAATCCAGGACAAACAAGCATTGGGGTTATCATCGTCGCAGGTTGATGATGAGAGCGAAACTGCGTCCGTTGATGACGTTCTTTGGCTGCACATGCCTCCAAATGATCCGCTGGACAGTGACAAAATTAGGACTGAACTTTACGACACGATTGACACTTTGCATCATGCAGGAAACGATGTTCTGTTCATTCCGATTTCTAAAGGATATTCTGACACAGAGGAAGTAAAACATGGTTTCTTAAAATCTCTACAAATTACTCCTGAACGTTTTAGTAGATTTCGAAAATTGAAAATAAAACGATTATAAGTTTATCGTTTACTTGAAAAATCATTATATTGATTCATATATATATATACAATATATTTCACGTCACTGCAAATTAGCAAAAAGTATTACTTTCTGAAAATTCAGATGTTCCAAAATATAAATCTATTTCTTCGAATTATGATGTGCAATCTTTTCTTGTCGCTTTTTGACATGCTTTTTAATTTTAGTTTGTCGTTTTTCCGCTCTTTCTTGCTTGACTTGTTTTTTACGTTCCTGAAAATCAAAGGAAGTACAATAAAATTAATAATGCACAAACAATTATTTTTCTATTGAGCCAATGTGGGGCACTTACCCGTTTTTGCTCTGAAGTTTCTCCCTTGGGCCTGGCAGCACTGGAAAATTTAGACTCGGCATTCTGTTCGGAATTGGTCGAAGAATCTGATTCTGATTCCGATTCCTCACTATTTTCCTTGTCTCTTTGTAAACTCGAGCAGTTAGGATCAATCACCTTAGGAATCACGTCGTCGGCGTTTGATGAATTCTCTGAGATGGGCCCCGAAAAATCCGGTTTCATGCCCATAACACTGGTGTATATCAATTCTACTTCACCTTTTTTGGCCTTATCATAGTCTCTCTCAAAATGAACAACCTATAATAACAAAATAAATGTCACATTACAACCTTTTATATATTGTTTTACACATAAATTTGTGTTAATACTTCTTCCATTTTCCGAGGAATATACGACTGACGAAATACTTCTGTTGTTACATCCAGATTTTCCCATTTCTTGGCACGTGAGAGCAAATCTTCTAGTTTCTCGAGGTAATTGTTATCATCGACATTAGGGCTGGTAACAAACTCGAATATTTCTTTGAAATCTCCAACCAATATTGTCTTCCCAAAGAATTCTAAAAATAATGAATTATAGCCAGCCAACACAAATATTCTAAAAATAATTAAATATAAAGCAAAGCAGCGTTGCGGCGTGGCTTTTATCGTCCCACTTACCTTGAACATTTTTGATGTCACTCTTTAAGAAATCAAAACTACGAGGATGATCATGTTCAACTGACTGGGAGACGTCTATTACATACAAATCTTTGTTGTCCTTCAAAATTAGATTAAACTCTGAAAAATCTGCATGCACCAGTTTACAGTGGTTGTATAGTCGATATAAAATAATTAGGGAATCTCTATACAATTTCTTCAACAAGACTTGCACAGGATTTAGTAAAGTATCATTGACTTGTTCCGTCTCTTCAAATTCGATATTTTCAAATTTTACATCCTTCAAGAGTGGTGACGGCCATCCAAGACTTCCGATAAAATCCATTACCAAAACATGTGATTTTAAAAGACGAGGTTGTGGCACAAGAACAGTGCCGGCAGAATGAATTCTTAACAAATTGCGGTATTCTTTTTCTGCCCATAGTCTAACCATTTTGCGAGGATTTTTCTTGCAATATCCTTGTCGAAATCTAAATTCTCCAGAAACATACTTATCCCTGGCTTTAAACGTAAGAATTGAAGTCTTGAAAATTTTGATTGCATAAGATTTATCGTCAGATCCTGTAGCGTGATACACATTAGCCTCCTTTCCAGTAGAAATACATCCATCAATACTGACAATTTTTTCGCTACTCAGCAGTTTATATAAAATCATTCTTGTTCTGGGATCCATAACTTGTTCAACTGTAGCACGATCTTGTTTGTCCTTTACCTTTTGTCTATATTTTAATGATATTAAGGTGAGTAATTAATACACGATAATAGTGAAAGTGATACATTTATTGTTAATAATTTTATATACCTGTTAGCCGTAATTTTTTTGCTGGAAGTGATTATTTTATTGCCAGCTCCACTGGGCAAGCTTCCTACTCCTTCATATTTCTCAATCTTTATCCTGCTAACAAATTTTTTTAAGAATTCTTCAGACGACACGCCGTCATGCTGTTTTTGGGAATTTGGCCCCGTGACCTTTTCTCCGTAGAAATGATAATCATCGTCATCAATGTCAGAATCTAGTTGATTGTTGTCTTCCTCATTGTCCCAAGTCTCATCCTTAGCAGACCCTTCATGATCCTCTCGGTGACTTCCAGCCGCATGAAATAAGGCTTCCAAGTTCCTAAGTATTTTCAAGAATAAATTCACAACTCAATGTTAAATTAGAGTTTCTAACATGTAAATCAATGCTGTTTTATTTTGGACAGTGCAGCATAAAGCAAACGTTTCCAATCTTCTTACCGTTTTCTAATGATGTCGTCTTCAATTGCTTTGCTACACGCCTCTGCGTCATCTTCAAATTGTCCTGCGACGGGAGTAAATTTTGACGGAGGTGGTACCACAACTTCCCACCTGCCACTACTGATCGGCTTTGGCATAGCTCCACTAATTACGAATTAGTACAATTATTAAACAATTAACAAAAGTCCAAAGTTGAATTGAAAGTATAGCAGTGTGAAAAGGGTCAGTTTTAAATAACAAACTTACGATTATTGTGAAGGATGGCCCAGAAATGTGCCTGGTACCCTGATTTTAGGAAATGGACGATAAATTCTCAGACAAAAACTAAGTAAGAATTAAAAAATTCCAAATTAGATCCGAGCACATGGAAAGACTGTTGATCAACTTCGATTCCCGCAAGCGAACGGGGTAGTTCGGCTCTTTGTCTCCCACGCGTCGTCGGAATATTAGCGACAAAATCATGGACAGACAAATAATCCTAGAATTAAGTCATTGATAATCAAATCTCAAGATGTGTACTGAATAATTTAGCATAATCGATTGATTTCATATAAATTGACATTGAAAATTAAAATTCCATCTACAGCACAAGTGGCGTGTGGTCAGTCAATTGTAATTACTGAGTGCGTGGCCTTCGCCTTAGCCTGAATATTTTATGTGCAAAATCTTATTCATCTCGCAACCTATCGTAGCTAAACTGCTAATCTAAAGGTGAAGTAGCTACCGACTTGACACACTATTAGCCTATGAAAGGCCTTCTATTATACATCAGAAATCAAATCAAACTGATATGAACTCATCAAGTTAGTGTTTTTATCATTAAACCGATTTTTCCATGCTTAGTATTATTTATACAAGTAGAAATAATTTAATGCAACTATGAAGATATTCCCAAGTACATACATACACTTGCAGTATACTTTTGCCATGCAATTTTTTATTCAGCTAATCTCCTCTGTCCACAGTTTTACAGGTTCTGCAATCTTTACATGACTAGAACGGATGTCCCTTTAGGAAATGTGAACATTGTTGTATTGATTTACTTGTATGATGCTCATCAATTTAAGTCTTGCTAACTTAATAGTTTGTTTTGAATGTGAGTCATGGTCAGTGGACATTTCCTTCCTTCCTTCTGGCACCTCTTTGGTGCGACAGCGACTCTGCCTGCTCACTGACTTTATGCAGCACCAAACAATCTGACATTGTCGAATAGCCATGAACTCCTTTCGCATCATCTTTTTCTACGAGGCGAGCGACGCGAGTGTCCGCAAGGAAATCAAACATCTCGCATCAAGACGAAGGTGATTGTGGTGGTAGTGCAAAAAACATGTGCAGAAGGAGAATGGCAATATATTCTGTATTGTTCGACACTGCTAACAAGCAAAGGCTTCACTTTTCCTGATCGTGGTTGTTGATGTTGCCAGCAACATTGCTGACGCTGGATCAGAGTCTACAGATATGTAGGCACTTATAGGCGCATATCACTGCATTTCGTATAGTGTTGCATGTCTAGAAGTGTAATAATGATGCTTCTAATACAAACAAAATTGCATGTTTTTCTTGTTAATGATAACGCCTTTGTATTTCCATGTAGTACTTATGCGACTCTTGCAAAACTCAGTTTACAATGTGCATTCATGGCTTTGAGATAAGTGAATTTTGACTTGACGATTTATATCGCCAGTTCATCAGTTAGTATTAAAAGTAGAAAAAGAAATTTGAGGAAGAATCCAGACTTGGACTTGCTGCGGAGGCTACGCTACCACTATTCCATGGTTTACATTTCTGAAATTTTCCATTGTACTTGTCTGCGTACAGGAAAACGTGGTTTGGTGCTAAAAATATTACAGCGGCTAAAAATATTATAGAAGGGAGGGGATTGAATCAGTGTCCAGGTTGTGAGAAACGGGATCTCGGGAAACTTTCCATTTATCCCAAAACGGGGTCAGTCTCTTTCTCATCGTCCTACCGTCTGCTCGCACACTTTAAAAGGCTACAGATATTTGCATTGTTGCGAAACTATTGGATCTGATCCTGCATATTAAAATTTTGAAGTTATACTAGAAATAATAATTCTCAAAGTTTTCAAATAAAGTCAAAATGACAACGGTTGTAACTGAAGTTTACGCTATTGAAGTGAAAATCGGAGCAAGTCCTCGAGAAACAAAGTTATCAAAATACAATGAAAATTATGCCGAGGTAGGTGATTTAAAGTTCAAAAACCTAAAATAATACGCTTCCAAATCAAAATCAATACATTTCAACTTTTACTAAATTTTTTGACATTCAAAAGTTGTTCAAAATTAATTGAAAATTAATCCATACACTTTGTTGTATGTACGAGTGCATATTTGCATGTAAGACAGGAATACGTACATAATGTGAGATTGTTTTCCTGTGTTCAACAGACAACGCAAGGGCTGCGAGATGCTTTTAAATCAGGAAGAACCTTGTCTTACGGCTACAGATTGGACCAGCTAAAAAATCTGCAAAGATTGGTCTCAGAACGTTCGAGCGAACTTGTTGATGTCTTATACAAGGATTTACGAAAGCCAAAAATGGAAGGTGAGAATACGTAGGTGTTTTATTATTAATTTTCAAAAGGTATGTTCCACACTGTTTCTGACCAAACTTTTGATGAAATAACAAACTTCAAATACTTTTAGAATGCTGTGATTTTTTTCAGTTCTGTAGGTTAACATTAACACTAGCAATAAATCGGCAAACTTTACCTCGACGGAAAAAATGCTAGATTTGCAAATTAAATATCGTAGTGTGATTTAATTTTTAATGCTGGATGGGTAATAAGTGTCGCAGATTTATGGTTGAATCCTTAAAATTTACGATGAAGACTGCCCAACACAAAACACAAATTCAATTGGGTCAATAATTTTAAATGATGGCGAAACGAGGTCTCGGGCAAAAAGTCGCCAGGACGCTCAAAATCCGTTTCTTCCACAGAAAGGCTCCGGAAACTAGAGGAACAAATAATGAGAGATCCGCGATTGAAACTGTCCTATTTAGCAGATGAGATGGGTGTTTCAAAACCAGCAATTTGTTCCATGTTAACTGAAGACTTAGGTATGAAAATGGTTTCCGCCCGTTGGGTACCAAAATTGCTTTCAGCATCTCAAAAACAGGATCGAGTCGACTTTTGCAATGCCAATTTTAACCTATTAAATGAAGACTTGAACCTGCTCAATATTTTATTAGTTGCATATGGTACTTGGGTTTACTATTATGACCCGGTGACCAAATAATAATTCCCTCAATGGAAGCACGAGGGGTTGCCACCGCCCGTGAATTGAAAAGTGCAAAAATCTGACAAAAAGATGATGATGACCACTTTCAAGGATACCAAAGGTCCCCTCCTTATAAAATTTATTGCTGTAAATACTACAATAAATGGGGCCGTGTATGCAGGAACCCCGAAGGAGCTGCGTCCTCCGGTTGAAAAGAAACGTGGGGTCAAAATAAAGAGTTGGCCTTTTTTTAGACGACAACGCGCCACCTCATACCTGGCTTTTTGCGAGGGTTAGTGCAGACGAAAATCGCTTTACCTGCACAAACCACACCCCGTGCAGTCCGGACTTGACCCTTAGTGATTATTATTCGTTTCGAAACTTAAAGAAAAACATCAGGGGAAAATGGTTTTCGGATGATAATGAAATCAAGTCGTAAATTTTGGCATATTTTCGAGGTAAATTTTAATGAGTTATTGCTAGTGTTAATGTTAACCTACAGAACTGAAAAAAATCACAGCATTCTAAAAGTATTTGAAGTTTGTTATTTCATCAAAAGTTTGGTCAGAAACAGTGTGGAACATACATTTTGAAAATTAATAATAAAACACCCACGTACATAATGCTCACGAGTAATTTAACGTAAACACTTGTTTACCCACTTCTTCACTCTCATTACAAACCAACCACAAATGAGTACAGTTTTTATTCATACGGTTTTCATGCACAAATGCAATTATACGATTTGCAATTGCACTAGTTCGTTCAGCTTTAAATGTGCATGCGAAGTATGTAAGTATAACATATCCGTTCATATCTATCGGTGCAATCAAATGTGGTGATGAAGAAACTAAACCTTGGGTTCAATGTGTGTATTATGCAAAAATTAGTAGTTTGTTTGCAACATAAGTAACTAGCCGCTATGATTATTAGTAATTTGTTCCCAAGTGCATGAAACAGTTTCTTAAACATGAAATAAATTTAAGGAATTAGGCAAGATGTTTTCACAGAGTTATGTACATGATAAAGTGCATGAATATGGGAATAGTCAGTGAACAAAGTGGCACTAGAATAGGGAACAGAGAGAGACCGAGTTTGTTAGGTGAAGAAATACAAGGACTGAGTGTTTTACGTGAGTGACTACAGTCTGCACATAATTGCATTCGATGCCCAACATGATAAGGAAATTTACAATTGGCATCCCGGAATTGTTGCAATAAGGAAATTAAATATTTGCCTGACCAAGAATATTTCTTGTAATTATTAGCTTCTGGAGAGCTGGTTGGGGTGGAAGTGGAAATAAACGAAGCCATCCGATGTCTGCAAACATGGATGACGCCAGAACAGCTACCCAACAACCTCTTGTTCCCCAACGACAAAGCCTACATAAAGCCAGATCCTTACGGCTTGGTTTTAATTCTGGGTGCCTGGAACTATCCAGTCGCCTTGACTCTCCAGCCACTCGTTGGAGCAATATCGGCCGGAAACTGCGCCATCGTCAAGCCCTCAGAGATAGCACCCTTCACTGCTGCCAAGATTGCAGAGCTCGTTCCAAAATATTTGGATCCTGTAAATTCAAATTAAGATCACGATTTACGTATATCCGTATTCATGTACCTTATGCAGAATGCAGGCATGTGTTGCAACTGGATTTACACGAACTGCATTGCTTTCTTTCTTTCAGAAATGTTTCAGAGTAATCGAGGGCGATGTGGATGACACAAAAAAATTGTTGAAACAACGCTTTGATTACATATTTTGTACTTCTTCCACTCGTGTTGGAAAACACGTCATGATGGCTGCGGCTGAAAATCTTACCGGAGTAACACTGGAATTAGGAGGAAAAAGGTTGGGATTCGATATGCTAATTCTGTTTAGAAACCAATTAAATTGCTAAAAACTTAAGTTCCATTCTCCTCTAAAGCCCTGTCTACGTTCATGATTCTGCTGATTTGGATCTCTCCTTGAAGCGAATTTTGTGGGGGAAGTTGCTAAATATGGGTCAGGTACTCGTTTCTGATCTTTCTAATCATTTTGAGAAATGCTATGAGACATCCAAAAAAGCATTTGATGTTTAGTCAGGATTTATTTTTCTAGACTTGCATAGCACCCGATTACATCATTTGTTCCAAAAAAGTGCAAGATTACTTTGTCACCCATGCGAAAACCATTCTCGAAAAGTGGTATGGACCAAGCATGAAGGAAAGCATGGACATTTGCAGAATAATTAATTCGTATCACTTCGATCGGCTCAAGAAATTGTTGGTGGAAACAAGAGGAGGAATTGTCCTTGGTGGAGAGTTCGACTCGAACGATCTCTGGATATCTCCAACCTTTGTCGGTAAATACATACCTGTGCTGTGCCTCTCATTCCGCATTAATTGCAAATAGATTTTTCCATTAAACTGAGCGATAATACTCCACGTTTCCTCAGTTAACGTGGAAGACAACGATGTATTGATGGAGGATGAAATATTTGGCCCTATTTTACCATTTGTGAACGCCGAGACTCCGTTAGAAGCCTTAAACTATTTAAATGCCAAGTAAGTTTACTAATTGTAAATACATGAGATTTTGGACATATTCTGATTCTTTTACATAAAAATAAGTACCATTGGGCGTTCCAATTACAGGACAGCTAAACCACTCGTAATCTACCTATTTTCACAAAACAAATCCGTCAACAAACAATTTCTTGAGCTTACAACCAGTGGAAGTCTCTCGATCAATGAAGTTATCCTTCACTGTGGCTGTGAGTTTAGCATATACACAATGTATACATATATAAGTACATAAATGCGGTATTATGCTGTGTTTCAGGGCACGGATTGCCTTTCGGTGGCGTCCAGGTAAACAGTTTTTCTCATTTATTTTTGGAATGCTTGAATCATTATTGAGCCAGAGTTTATTTGCATATTTGCAGGAAAGTGGGATGGGAAGTTATCATGGAAAGTACAGCTTTGACTGTTTTTCTCACCGGAAGAGTTGTCTCGCACGAGATTTCTCCTTTGTGACAGAAAAACTCTCTGCGATTCGATACCCACCGTACAACCGGACGGAGCTCAAGATTAAATTTCTATCGACCATGCTGCGACGCCTGCACCTTTTCAAGCTCTCTTTTTCCTTCACACCATCGCACCTCGTAATTTTCCTTTTGGGTCTGCTCGTCATGTTTGCCAGCACTACGTTGCTTGCTAAATATCAGAGTTAATTAGATTTCATGACAATTTGATCATTCCATGCAGCCCATTATAATAATTATGAATATGGAACTTCCAGCCCCTTTCTAGCATTTCTGTAATAATTCAATAATGACAATAATATTTTTGAGTTCAAAAATAAGTTCAAAGGACCTTCGAAGACAATAAAATACGGACTTCTTGTAGTTACAAACATAGCAATTGAACTTTTCAGAGTGATTTTCACAGTCGTGATCTACGTGAAACACCAAAATTCACACTATGTCTACATAATAATTCACTTTGTCTGAGCATCGCCCCATTGTCTCTACATCTTAATTAAGCAATTTTCTCACCAATCTCACCATAATCAGCATAAACCGAGCCATTTAAGAAAATTTAATGTCTTAATCAGACATATAGATACCTACTTGTATTCTTTTTTATCCCTTGAAATTTTGCAATGCATGCTGTTTCCTCGTTATTAAAAGCTACTTATGTAGCTGTAATTCTATTAAACACTTGCCGGATTTTCCATTGCAATATCGTTCTAAATCACGCAAAGTCAAAATTTTTGGAACTGGAATTTTCGCAATTGGTTGAATTACGCATCCATCGTATGACATTCGTTTACGTTTCGTTATTCGTTTACTATGTATTTAGGCAGTTGACAGTTAATATTAGTGGACTTCATTTGCATCTTGTAAAGTTGCAACATAGTCGATGAATGTGCAAACCCTGCGATAAGAACAAGATGATGGTGCCGATCATGCGGATTGAGAAGAATGCCTGTTTTATCAATATGCCTTATGGATTCTCCAACGTGGGCCATTTTCACTTGACTACATGTTAAATTCATCTAACCAACATAAATGGGTACACATAATTACAAACTCAACTTTATGTCCATTTCCAAGTTCAAAACAGTTTACTCGTTTACTGCTTGTAAAGGAATTTCGAAGGTAAAGCATAATCGCTTCTGATTTAAATCATATCGTTCAACTACAAATATACGTACATGCACAAATACGATACGTACGTATGTGTGTGCATGTGTGCATAATTGGTGATTTTTTGTGTACATGTCGCAAATTCTTGGTGCATTCATGCCTACAGTCCGTTTATTTACCATACGACCCTCGACGTCACCACTGCAATGCTATTAGTAATGAGAGTGATGACGTCGAGGATCGTATGGTTAAAAAAACAGGAGTACGTTGTCGTATTCTCTATTGTTCTCATTTCTCCCCCAAAGAAATATCTCAGCCATATTGTCTCACAACTAGCTAGAACTAATTAAACTGTGTACCAATATGGACTAGCAAAGCAAGGGGATGATGAGCAGGATTCATCACATCATTGTGCACAACGCAACAATTAACTAACAAAGAAAGTCGCTCATGCGAAAACCCAGTCTCAAGTCGCACCTCGTACATATATGCATTACACGTAAGTATGTGCTTGCAAATAGTTCTAGATATGTCTCTTCATTAAGTGTATTATCCCTGCTTCTGCTGCAACAAAGTCCTCTCTAATTTTCCCACTATTACAAATACATACATAGTTCCCATTGTTTTTTTTCTGAGAGCGAACGTATCGAAATCTGACTTGGTCTCATTTCAAGTTCTTGTCCGAATGTGAATTATCCGTTCGAATTTGCACGCCTGTCTCCTCAACAACCCCCAAGTGACTGCAGCACCTGTCATTTCACGATGAAATAGATAGTCAATAGTACTAAATTGTGTGAATCAGTCACTGCACGGCGAATTACTTCAGTGACTTGTAGCATAAGTTGGAATCATGTCAGCGACGTTTGTAAGTAGTTATATAAGGTCACCGTTGATATCCGTTGGGGCGATTTCTTACGGGAAATTATGTCTGCTTGCGTGTAATTGAAAAATTCTCTGATTACTGCACAAGGATTCGTAAATAAGGCGTTGCAGGGTATGTGTAACAGGTATCAAGTGGAACATACGGCGTGGAAATGTGCGAATACAAATGTGGAAATTGTCGAGAGTTCTTGTAATTCATGTCTCGCACAATAACCAAACCAATTGAAGACTTGTGTCATTTCTTAATAAACCCATGAACTGGTTGCATTACATGTCTTCGGGTGGTCCAGTGTAGGTGGACGCGCCGCGATAAGCTCCACTGCTCAGTGTAATATTATAATTATAAGTGTGCGTCGACAAAGTTTTGGTGATCATCGTCATAATTTGTTTAATGTATGACGGCACGTAAAACAAACTTTTGTAAAAAAAAATGCGGTGAAGTTTTTTGTGACAAAAAATCCCGTTTCAAAATTGAAGCACGACACGAAAGGATACCCACGCCAGAAGTAATCATGGATATGTGTACGTACTTTTGCTTTGTTTAAAGAAAACATGTAGTCAACAAAACTAATGTGGAATTGAAACTCAGCTCGTAAATCACTATTCTTCCAAAAACAATAAATAATCTGGGTTCGAGTTGTGGAGTCGTTCTGCAATTATTCGTGACAATCTGTGAAGAAGATACATAAATCTATATTTTGTGACACCAAGTTTCATCTATCGAGAGGATAATGGTGTGCATGGATCATGATGGATGTGACTCATTACGAGAGAATAATAACAATCTTGTCACTAATTGTTCACCAAGATTCAAAGTACTTACACTGCGATTGTTTGTTTACTGGGAACTGTGAAAATCTACAGATTATTATACATACGTTCTGCTATGCAAGAGGCATAACAATATCAATAGAAAACCTGATTACGCTCTGATGGGAAATCCGATGATAATAAACTCGTAACTGAAACATTCTCCGAACTCTCAGTTGCTGAGATTTAGTTAACAGAGATAAAGACCCCAGAGTTCGTGCTACAAAAATGCTTGAAACTGCAACTGCGCAACCGGAATAGCATTCATATTCTCAGACCCCTTCTTAGATAATTGGTGTTAGCCTCATTAGTTCGACAGTTTACAGAGGCAACAAGTGTGTGTGTGTGCATGTGTGTAATCAATGTCTGAGAAAATTGTGGCAACCAATAGTGCAATTGCAAAGGACGGACAATGGTGGTGCAACGACACAGTTCTTGCTACATTTTCAGTTTTTTTGGAATATTTCTGCACTGTTTCGTCTGCTGCTTTGGGTCTTACTTCAACTGTGACCCGGTCAACCAAGGTCACTACTGCTTGTGTTCTCAAAGTGAGCCAAGAGTTTGGGATATCCAGTGTCCTGCCCGGATTTTGGAAGTATATCCGGTGGCTTTGAAATGTGAGACTACATGGAAAAATGACTGTGAAAAATACACTTGTTGGTTAATAGTCATAGAAAAAATGTCATATGCAAATTTTAATATATTTACATATGTATGTGTCACACAGTGTCCATATCACATTTGGATCCGGAGGAAGCCAACTTGCGCATTGTTTGCGATCCGAATAAAAGTCACTTTGGATGGCGTTTGGTCCAAGGGGTCGATTTTGACAATGACATCACATTTAGCATTACAAGTTTGGAGATTAGTTATTGTCCTCTTATTTCCACAGTTGTAAGTTGCCTTAATATTAAAATTTGGGCATAAACCTTGATAATTATGGAGATGAAATATCGCACAGGATCTCCAAAATTTTTTGCAACAGTTGAAGCTGGATCCGGAGGATATTCAGAGCTTTTCATACCAATCATGGCGAGAAAATGTCACATTTCCGCCAGATTTTCTGAAAGTGATGCCCAATTTGGAAAACCTAGATTTGACAAACAACGACCTGGACTCTTTACCCAGTTTTCAAGATTTACAGTTTTTAACTAGGCTTCAACTCTTCTCAAATAGACTGACAACAATTCCAAATGATACTTTTACACATAATTTTCACCTGGAGGAAATACGCTTGGGGTCAAATCGCTTGTCTAAATTGGACATGACAATATTTCCTAGCTCATTAATCTTTCTTGACTTGGCGGACAATCGCATTACTACAATCACCAATCAATCATTCGTGAACTTATTTGGACTTCAGGTGGGTGCACATATGTAGTTTTTGATGTATAGATTCAGCGTTTATTATTTAGTGAAATGGGTGCGACGAAACCAAGTGGTCGTGGAGCCGGGGAAAGCTGGAGACATTAATGGGGAAGGAGGGGTTAGCATAGCATGGGCAGATGATGGGGACATCGAATAAACTTTAGATCATTGTCCATTTGTCCCCACGTCTCTGCGGCCACTGTTCACATCGTCTTGTAAAACATTTTCTCATTTATATTACAGGTTTTGAACCTGAACAGCAATCCGCTGGAGCATGTGGAAAGCGGAGTGTTTAGTCCTCTAAAAAATCTGACAGAGTTGAGCCTTGACTACTCGAAACTCTTGTCTCCTCCCGTACTCAAAAACCTGCCCAAATTAACCAACCTATCAATTTCATACAGCTTATTTTCCTCAACTCACGAATTAGTCACCACCCTCACGCCATTGTTGTTACAAAAAGAGGATACGGAGGTGACGACTGGCAACAGTGAGACTACAAATTTCTACACAAGCACGACACCCCTGACGACAATGACGTCTCCTCCTGATTACAAGGAGGATGGCGACGGAGAGGTAATTAGTGAAAATGAGACGCCCGGAGGAAGAAGTGATGCTGACGATGGCGATGATTACGAGTCTAATAACAACAGTAAGCAGAAAACAAAAGTAATAAGTGAGGAGCTCATCGGTGATTTGTATTCCTTGCGAAAACTCATTCTCATTAACGACGACCTCAAATCCCTAACTTGGCTCGGTTATCTGCCCAACTTGACGGATTTGGTGCTGAGTCGGAACCAACTTCAAGTTATTCCGAGTGGCTTTTTTAGAAATCTTCCATCCGTTGTGTATGTGGATTTTAGTAAAAATTCCATCAATGAGTTGAATGAAATGGATGCTCGCTTTATGACCTATTTGGATCTGAGCAACAACTTTTTGAGGATTCTTGACCACGATTACTTCAAGCACCTGCGACAGTTGCGCGTACTACTTCTCTCCACAAACAAGGCGAGTGGAGTTTAACTAACTAGATAGCAAATCGCGGATAGATGTTAGCACAATCTAATTAATTATAATATTCATGGATTAGATTGAGTACGTCCATCCTCGAACTTTCCAAAATCTTGAAAGTCTCACCATCCTTGACTTATCCAACAATCGCATCTCGTTCGAAACAGGACCACCCTCGATGACACATGCGATGAGGACAGGGGGCCTTGACATGATGATGATGGCCATGTCCAGCACCATGATGCCCACGACGACAATGTCAGCAGGGTCGGACGAGGTGGAGGAAAAGTTGGACGAAATTCAGCCTCACAATCAGAGTCCACTCCAATATTTGACCAAAGTTGAGCGGATAAATCTCAAGAATAATCTCATCAACAAGGTTTTCATGGACTGGACGTTTGTACCCACCAATTTGAAGAGCTTGGATTTAAGCCGCAATCAAATCAAATCCTTGCATCCTAGAGATCTCTACTTTGTGTCTCAGTATGTCTGCATACGTATATTAAATCCTAATCCTAAGTTGAATATGATTCATTTGTGAATTCCAATCTGAGTGTATTTTATTTATCTTATTCCAAGGGACGTAAGGTTTGACCTGAGGTACAATGAAATAGCGGACGTCGACATGGATTTTGCAGACTTGTTGTTGGATCCTTTAGAAAATAAAAATGTCGTCGTGTTGCTGGATGGGAACCCAATCGACTGCGACTGTCATGCAATTTCGTTCAAGAAATTTTCAGTCAAATCCTATCACCTCCAATATTCAGATCTACGATGTGCGTCCCCTCCGACTTTGGAGGGGCGCAAATTCTCTGAAAGTGCGTAATTAATTTGTATTCTTTGTATGCAAATTCTGTATAGATAGATGAGAATATTTATATGTGCTGAATTATCAATATAGTTGAAGCAAAGGATTTACGCTGTATGCTTTCACAATCCTGCCCAATTGGATGTTCGTGTTGGGAGCTGCCGTCAGAAAACTTGATAAAAATGGACTGCAACAGCCTCAATTTTTTATCCTCGCAAAATGTAACATCCTTGAAAAACTTTACAGATGTATACGAACCATTAGAGTTTGAAATAGACATTTCAAACAGGAATATGCAACATATAACGGAGTCCATAACTCAAAGTATTCAACCATTAGTGAAATCTCACCTACATATGTAAATAATACCTAATAACTTCTACTATTACAGGTATCACGTCACAATTTCGGTTTGTGAATCTCACTCAATCTGGTCTCTTGTCCCTGGATTTTTTGGCCGGATTACACCCATCCAACAACGTGACAAAGTTCGCCCTATCTAAAAATCGCTTCAAGTGTGATGGGTGCAAATTTCAGAAACTTTGGTGGACAAATTTTAAGCGGATAGTTGATATTCGTAACGTCACGTGCATTCTTGGTGAGAATGATGGTTCGAACGAGGGCCAAACGTTGTTTTTCCAAGATATTGTGAGAAGCTCAATGTGTTCCGAAAATGCCATAAGTGACGAAATAAGATGGTTGGTGATCTCCTTGGCCATTGTCATCCCTGTAATAATTTCCACCATGATTTGTATGACAAGACTGCACAAAGGGAGGGGCAACACCAACGCCTCCTCAAAAATTAGGAGGTTAGAATCCATGGTGGGATCGCAGTCGAGGGCGTATGCAACCACGCGGTCTAAAGTGGTGGATTTGGATAGCAGTAATTTCTGAATGTTTATGTACAATCCTAAATACATAACAAATGAGTGATACTTAGTCAATGGTGTCTGTCTGAGACGTGGGGTTTATTTATTTTATAAATTGTTAGTACATGTAAATAAAACTATCACATATTAATAAATGTTTGGTTTTCTCACTTTCCGTTCGCTCTTAAAAATTGGTCTTAGCCACGGACGGGCTCTGCAGCCGAAGCGCAACTGACCAGAGTTTTTACTACCCCCAAAACCTCCACCCAGTCTTCTCGGTCTCCATCCCGACATTGACCTGGATACGATTCTGTCCACAGTCAAGGGCTGTCCTCCCAAGGTTGCACTCTTTCCATCGTCGTAGGCTCTCGTGCAGTGACGCTCTTTCTCAAATTCCACAAAGCCATACCCCCTCGACCTTCGAGTCACCACGTCACGCACGACTCTTACCCTCTTGATCCTCCCGAATTTTGAAAACAGGCGTTCCAGCTCTTCTTCTGCTACAAGTGGTGGCAATTGGGCGATGAGTAAGGTCTTTCGCAGCTTGTCTTGGTCAGGAATTTCTTCCCCTGGTTTGTAGGTGGCTTCCAACGCTCGAATTACAGCTCTGTCGTGGGCGAAGGTACCAATCCCATTAATGCTCCCTATTTTAATCGGGTCGTATTCCTTGGCAATGGGTCGCCAGTTTCTCTTTTCAGGGTCATCTTCCTTGTCTCCTCCCCCTTGATCGTATCCACCCCTCCGGGATGTACCCTCAGCCTGAGATTATTCAAATATACGCAATAAGTAACAATAAAGTAACAATAAGAGTCACAAATGCTATTTCTGGTTGATTACCTCCATTTCAATGTTTCGATAACATTTTTAATAATATCAAGATAAAGTATGCAATTTTACATGATTTTTGCATATATGCAAACTTAAAGTTACTTGATTTTATACTCGCAAATCTGTTCAAGAAATCAACTGTTTCGTTATCCAATGTAATAATGCTTTAGTTTGTATGCTACAGATGTCATCTCTGTGATGTCATGTCTCTCTGTATGCACATTGTATATCTGCAGCCAGACACTTTCATTTTAAATTTATTTCATGAATTAACTGTACGATAATTTATTTACTGTATACTATAATGCGCATTAGGTAAATTTTTCACTGAAAATTATGCAAAAGTCCATTGATATTTTAATGTTCAGGGACATGTTTTTCTTATTTCAAGTTTAATGCTTGATTGCTTGAATCGCCATTTGACTATTTTAAACTATTAATTATATTGGATTTCAATGAAACTGTGTGTCAATTTTGTCGAATCATATTAAAAAACCATATCTCATTCGCATACTCCATTCATTGGACATTACTGGTCCATCCAAGAGTCCTCGACTTCGTGACAGTAATTGAATGACTCGTCAGTTCAAATTCGCACGATTAAAAGAATTAGAATATCTATTTTGTTGAAATATATTTTTTTCTGGCACATTCGAAGCAATTAGGGAGCAATTTTTATAATTTTTATAAAAATACAATACACATTCATATCTGCAACAGGATGTTAAAAAACCTCATATAGATTTGCTTATAATATGCGATATGCACCTCACAATGGGATCATTATTTAATTTTAACGAGGAGCTCTAATTGGGAGATCCTTGTGTTTTATGTAGCTAAATATACTCCATTATTCTCTGCATCGGGCATCCTTGGGTGCGCTGGACACTCTTGAGCGAAGCTATAAATATGTGGTACTGACCAACTCCGCAATAATTAAAGTCATTATTATGCCATATCATGACTCACAAAATTAGGTTGTTTGTAACCAAAATGCCATTGTTCATCTAATTGTTGTTGTTGTACCTCCCTTTCTGCGATAACATGCGGCAGAGTCATACTATAGAATGCATGCAATTCATGCTTGTGATGGTCATTTTCTGGGATTTCCAACATAATTGTTCTCCACAAAATGATAATAATGTGTAATGTGTGGACGAGTTTTATGAATTTGGGGCTATGAGCGAATGCCGAATGGGAATGTTATAATTTACTTATTACAACAGTCTGGTGCTTAAAAGTACTTAAGAAAGATCGCTGAAAACCAATGGAGAGTAATGTGATAAATTGTAAATTAGATATTTACATAATTTGTACCTTATAAAGTTCCTGTCTGCATTTAAAAAGCTAATTGGGATCCAAGTATTAAAACAACATTAGAACTTTTAAGATTCTTTTGAAAAATGTAAGGTTTGGTTATGCAACGTGCTAAAAAATGACGCGAGTATTACGAATGGACGGATCTTTGTAATTGTAAATTGTAACCGACCGTGTGGTGCTAAACGGTGAGTGCGATGGTTAGTAGGTAAAAAGTAAAAGATTCGTCCTTCGACGGTACCAAGAAATATATTTCGCATTGAGCACAAGAACCATGTACAAATCTCAACGAGAAACTTGCTGATGATGATGAGCAAAGTTACAAGACTCCATAAGATCGAGATTCCAGGTCCAACCATGGTCCAACCAACCAACATTCATTTGCGGAGTACCAGTTAGAACCAATCCGTTTTCGTTTCTTAAGCATCCTATGCATGTATTAAAACTATAGCTTAACTTAACTCAACTACTCAATTTAACTGACGAGGCTGCACAAAGAGCACAGAGAAAAAAGGTAGCAAAAAAGGTGAACCTTGTTCAAGTTATTTAGCTGCACGTGAAAATGTTGTACGGATAGAGCAGGTGACTAACAATAAGTAAATCTTTTTGGGCTAAATGGAATCAAGAGTATTGTGCTCGTAGTAAGTATTTTGAAACGGAGGAGCCACCAATAGGTTCGACATGGGTGAGCATCAGTACACATACATTGCTAGATTAACTGACTTATTTATTATGCTGCGTCGTCTGATAAGAATGATTTGTCTTCAATACACCATTCTGTAAATCATGGGCTGAAGGAAGAGTTTCTTTAAAAAATGTCACAAAGCTTACATTCAGCTACACATAAATACTCCTCGCTCGTCTTTTTGAGGTAAAATCTTACACAAATATGCGTCTGTCAAATCAGTTTTTATGACGAAGAGTAAACCGTGCAAGTCTAGTATACGCGTAGATACAACGTTGTACTATCTCAAAGAAATTAACCAAGTGAAACTTTCCATTGTCGTGCCATCATCCAGCTTGCAAATCCACAACATATCCCTCTCTACATATTTAGTCATTATAAGCAATAAGCACGAATAAGTTTGTGCTGGTTTGTGACCAGTTGATCAAAGTGTAAAAATATGAAAATGGGGCATTATTGTCGTGACAAACTCATATCCGGTTGAACCAAGGATATTGCACTGGAGTGTCGCTGCTGATCCGTATATGCTAACATTGGACCAATAATAAGTAAGTTTTGACCAATAGGTGTACTATTCTTAGATTCTCAGACTTCTGTGTTGACAATTGTCAAAAGTTGTGCAATATTTGCTGGGCGCTACGCAAACAATGAGATTAAGTGAGTTACCAGCAGTCGAATGGGATTCAACAAAGCATATTATTTTATTGTGCCGTCCGACCAACTATATAACTAGGCTGCAGGTCGGAGCATAATAACAACGTCTTATCCTTAAGTATTTATGTTGACTCAATGTGCACTGATCTTGGTGTTGCGACTACGCTACTTTTGCACTGATGGGAACTGCCGACTTGCGTCATCCTATTTTCTTAAGTTCACTTCATAGTTCATACCCACTCTGCACATACATAATACCATCGAGTCGTAATACCATCATCGTCATCGATGGTCACTGATATTACAGACAACTACCCATGCAGGCAAAGTTATGTATGTGGCTAACTATCCTCCTCACCGCACATTGCAGTGCTTAGGTCCACATGGATGATATTCTGGTCAGCCTTAGAATTATAATTTTTAATACTTGGCAGTTGGCAGGAGCATCCCCCACACACACGCAATACCTGTTCCCTGATGCAGATATGTAACATAGCACGTAATAATAATACTCTTCAACTCTGAATGTGAAAGTTACCCCTTTTCTGCTCTCTGTCTGTGTGATTTTCATGAGTTTATAGTTAGTTAGTTGGACGACTGATATATTACTTACTTGCTTACGGAGTGAACTGCGTTGTTGGTGTGCAGGCATTTAAATGCTAGAAATATATATTCTGTGAGATTTCTAGATTATGTTATAACACACTAGCGTTAGGTAGCTCGTACACGGATGGGTATATTTATTAAGTACTAACCAGTCAAACCACTCATTCAGGACAAAAACATTACCATTTCAATATTTAATATTTCATGCATGCAAAAGTGATATTCTGCACTGCAGTATTTTACATTGCTCTTGTGTAAAATGGTTATTGAGTGTGGTTTGTGAATACTTGGATGATGCCAGAATCACACCACACGCTTGGCATTATTCTGCTGAGAAAGGAATCATGGGCGATACAACAACAGGGCGGATGTTGATAACAAACTGTGATTTTAAGTTGTGATTTTTTAACCATTTGCCAGGATAGGAAACAGAAGACAGTTAAACGATCCGCGTTTGAAGGAATACCTCAATTAGAAACCTCTGCGCTAAATCCAACAAGAACAAGTGTCCGTGTAATCAAGAACCTGTGCTGGATGGAAATGGAATCTCTACTCCAATTGAAGTAAAGTGAATGTAGGAAAATATTTAGTTGCCTATGCGAACATCATCTCACACCAGAACGTGAATATTTTCCGAAATTGTGTGTAATTCATGGCAATCCGAGCTGTGCTGCATTTGCTTTTCTCAAAAACTGCAAAGCCGTGCAATGTAAAGGGATGAATTGGGACTGCCCTCAGGGGAGTTGTTCTGAACGGAAGCAGCAGATCTGATAAGAGCATTTTACTTAACATTGCAGAGTTTTTCTTCACCAGATTTACACACGGAGTGCAAAATGTACGCTGCACTTTTCTCATTTTCTCTGATTTAATTGACCAAGACAAAGCAGATTAAAACTCCGTCTGACTCACCACAAGGAAAACTAGTGGACGCTACCAAACCAAACCTGCGTCGAGATATCCAAACTCCGAATCGCTCTACAGCAGAAAGAGACCAGCATTGTGACCATGGTCCAATTTCAGACAACAATATTACCTATAATTTTGCATTACTCGCAAAAATAACAATGGACAATTATTAGCCAAGTTCCGTGCTCATTCGATTCGTGAGTCATGCTATTTATTAGTGGTGCAAAGCATCACTAAATTAAATGTTGAACTTACTGAAGATTAGTTTTATCTAGTGCGGTTATACATTTGGCATTGAACACACCGTGCAAATTGTTCCTCGGTTGCTGGTCAGACGACATTGACAATCCAAGTTTCGTGGGTTTGTCAAGTGGTTATTGAGTGTGACATTTAACTGAACTTTTGGGTGTACAATATTTCCGGAGTTTCCTCAGAATCAAACTGTAAATAAATGTTAACACCATTTCGCTTGTAAACCCGACCAAGATTTGTCATTACATAGTGCAAGAAATATCTCGTGATTATTTCTGCTTCTTTTTCGCACTTTGTATGAGAGCAGAGTCAAGATTATTATTATTCGGAGAATACTCCATTAGTGTTCAGTGTGCTTTGCCAGTGTTCAATGTGGACACATTTATTAACATGTATGGGCTGAAGGTCAAAAAGACACAGAAATACGTTTAAAGTGTTAACAAATCTTATGTAGTAAATAATGGATGACTTGAAATTATTAATCATGGAGTGGGACTGCAGACTAAGAATGACGAAAAGGTTAAACGTGACAAGCTTGCGGCCACTGCCTCGAAGGACCTTTGTGCTATCTGTGATATTAGTCGTTAGCAGTTTACTAAGTTCTGGACAGACTTTCTATTTGGATTGTGACCAAGTTCAGGGAGCTGGTCATTGCGAATGCACAAAATTGGAGCAGTACAGTGTCGACTGTCCAAGCAATCAAAGCATTTATCCCATCCAACTGAAATGTAAGTACTGTACATAATTTGGTCCATGCATAATTATGAATTCATTGGCATCAGCATAACGTTTGTCATCATTCCCATTAAATACCTGACAGTGTACAACATTGGGAATCCGAATGAAGCATTTCTGGAAGTCACCTGCAACTCCGGAACCATGGAACAACCCGTCGAATTCCAGTGGGAGCAAGTGCAAGGGGTTGATTTGTCGGAAGACCGAATCTCTGCCAAAGTTGTGAAGCTATCTCTGAATAGATGCCCCGCTACTTCGAATGTAAGTTGGAAAATAAAATGCACATTTTTATTAAATTTACGAGCATGATTGGAGTACTGCATATTTATAATTTTAACCGTCATGCAGGGTCTGAAGGGACTTCTGAGTCGAGTGAACATTACTTCAAGCAATGTGCAGCGCTTCACAATTATTTACAGTGACACGAAAGCAATTCCAGAAAACTACATTTCTGAATTTCCCAACCTAGAAGTTTTGAATCTCAGTCAGAATCAATTGGAAGAACTTCCCGACTTGTCACTCCTTCCAAATTTGGTGGAATTGAACCTTCGGAACAACAAGATTAAAACGATTAAGTCTGATGCATTTAGCTCAAACACGAAACTCAAGAGGATCGTACTGTCCCACAATGAGATCGAGCTTATCCCACCAAAAGCATTCCCCAATTCGCTAGAGTTTTTGGATATTTCTGGCAGAAAACTAACCACTTTGACCTCTCAGTCGCTTTCGAATCTAAGCAATTTGCAGCGTTTGATAATTGAAGGGGCCCCACTGCGAAATGCCGACCCTGAAAGTTTCGACAATCTCACGAGTGGTAAGTTTATTTTATTTTTTACAAGTCTATGAATATGGTTATGATGTAAGTTAATGTGCATACACGAGCGCACATAATCTAATTATTAACCCGAGTCAGGGCTAACGTACCCGTCATGGTTGTCTATCGATTACGCTAGTAAAACTTGAAATTTTGCACACACGTAGTGCAAAATTAGAAATCAAGTTCGAAGATGAGCAAAATCTGTCTAAAAAAATAAAAAAAGTGGTACTAAACTAACTACCTTATGAGGTTGGTAATCGCAATTATCGAGATAATTGCAATTATCTCAATTATTAATAACAACCTGACTCGGGCTAAATAAGACTGCACTCTGGGTTTTACTGTATTAGTAATTATCCTTATTGATAGTAGCCAGACTGTGCTAATTTTGAACCTTGCTGTTTTTTTCTAGTGAAAGAAATTTTCTTGAACCAGGCACAATTTTCCGTTTTTCCTACCTTGAAAAATCTCCCTTTACTGGCCAACCTGTCAATTAATTGGATTCGACTGGACCAACAGCCATTGACGCTGAACAACCTGCCAGCATTAACCATGTTGAAAGCAAGGGACAGTCGATTCACGGATCTGCCCACCCTTTCAAACGTTACAAACCTGAGAAATATTGACCTGTCTAGAAACAGGATCCAAAATTTATCGAGAGCTTTTTTTGCTCAACTCCCTGCTCTGGACATGCTGGACTTATCGGGCAATAGGATTTCCGAACTCGTCGAAATTCGAAGCCCTAATCTTGTGAAGCTGTCCATTCAAAATAACGCAATCACGAGCTTGCAGAAAAATATTTTTGCACATCTGGGGAAATTGGAAGAGTTGCTACTATCAGACAACAAGGTGCGTCCAAAAATAATTCTTGTTTTCTGAAAACGAATCTTTCAAAGTGTTTTCAATCATATTGAATCATCAAAAGTCTTGATGTTGAAATCAATGGTGGTTTTCCAAGAGCAATCATCAGTAATTACTAATTACATGTAAGATTTGCCATCCAGAAAGATCACAGAGGTTCATGATCAAATCTCATCCACTTTGAACTCACATACATTTACATACATACAATGTTTGAATTACTACATTTCACATTTCGCTTTTCGTGGTCGATCTACAGATACAGATGTGTTGCACAATTTTTATTGGTGCGGTGTGTGTTTACAAATATCAGTAACAAATGCAAAATTATTCCAGCCAGGGCCAAGTTGCTTTAATCAATGCCTTTGTAAAAACGATGCTCTTGCCATACGTACATAAATATTACTTATGTGCTTTCGAGTAGCCATCCTATTACCGTAAAAATTAATGACTTGGAGGAGAGCTAAGAAGCATGTCTGCACTTTAATCCTTATACATATCAAACATATTTTTCGTGGTAAACCACTTTTTACGCTCATATTTGTGAGTTGACCACTTGGCACGTAATTAAAACCACTCCTCAGACTTCGGAGTGACGCAGGAGGCAAAAGCATATCAAAACTTACTATAGATTTGCGGAGGATATAAGTTGATCTTAAATGTTGGCCTTTAGATTCGGGATGTGGATTACAATGCATTTGAAAATCAAGGAGAGTTGAAACGGCTGGATTTATCTCATAATGAAATATCCTTCTCAAATTCTCCCTTCAAAAACGTACCAAACTTGGACGGTTTAGGAGATTTCTCTGCAAACTCATTCATCAATAAATGCACGCGACTCGAGTACTTGAATCTCTCCCACAACCAATTCGACAAAATATATGACGACTGGAAAAACGTCTTCACCATGTTGGAAGAGCTGGATCTGAGCTACAATAAAATTAAGCAACTCAGCGTCGTGGACCTTCAATTCATTTCCGTCAAGTAAATATGAAAACAGATTATGTATAAATTCAAAGCTTATTTTTTTATACTTTTAAACTTACATAAAATTACTGTATATTTATTTTAGGAAACTGCAGCTAAATATTTCACATAATGAAATTACAAAATTTAATTTTATGAGTTCCTGGATTTTTGAAGAAAATGATCACTCATCCATAGACATCTATATTGATGGAAATCCCATCGTTTGCGACTGCTTTGCGTAAGTCGAGAATTTTTACGGGTTCACATATTACGAAAGACGAGACTGAAGCATGAAAATTACGGCATCTTACATGATTTGTTGGCTAGACCGTATTTTTACGTCAACTATGCATATCTACATATTTATTACAAGTTCTTACATAATTGTGTTTTTGGGATCGTAGGTACCTTGTTAAAAGCCATTCTTCCAAATCTCACCGCCTCCATTTGGACAACCTATTTTGTGCAAATCCTCCCCCTTTGCAGAGAATGCAACTCTTGAGAGGTGCGGATGCATGGTTTTTACTTCTTAAACACTCGGATGCAAAATATTTAACAATTTTGCAACGGCATTTTTTGTCTTTGCAGTTCTAGACCACGAGTTGTTGTGTCAATTGGAACAAAGCAAATGCCCTACCGATGACTGTACTTGTTGGCAACGACCTGCGGGTGAGTGTTCGATGTAAACATTATAACGTGCCCTGTACTGATGATTAATCTACTCTTGACCTTTGTTAGACACAACTATTGTGGTTAATTGCTCCAATCTTCATCTTGAAAGCAAGCAATTGCCAGTGTTCAATTGGTCCCTTCAAAACCAGTTCAACAATTGGGGAATCGCGTTCGATTTTTCTAGGAATGAGATCAAGGAGTTGGACATTGGATATGTTTCTGGTGAGTGTTTTCGGTATTATCAAAGCTGAATATCGACCACTTGACTAATTTATTGTCATGCATTTTCAGGTCTGATTCTGCCTGAAAGAGTTAAATATGTCGACTTGTCAAGGAATCGTTTGGAATCTATCGGTTTCATGAATGCCGTGAAAGACAATTCTAATCTTAACTTTTCCTTGTCGTATAATCCATTTTCATGCGAAAGTTGTTCTGATTTTGTCGTAATTTGGGCGACACAATCGTCACATATTGTGGATAGCGAGAATCTCACTTGCTTTAAACGTGACAATGATCAAGATATTCAACTAACTGTGCACAATCTGTCGGAGCTGTTGGAAGACTGTAACGTAGCCCTGAACACTACCGGAATTCGAGTCTTGATAATTTGCGTGGTCATTTTCGCAACAATATGCATCGGTAAGTAGACCCGTGCAACCATGAATGTAAATACTATAGTATTTACACTCATGCGTGCAACTTAATGACAAAATGCCTTGTTTACAAATGTCCGATCAATTTAATTTCGTGTTTCGTCGTGGGCCCACTAAATGCCTTTCGATATCAGATAATTAACGATGAAATGTTTTATTTCAACAGTGATGATCATTTTCATGGTTCGTTATTCCTGGGTAAGTTATTCTCACTTGTTTTATTTCTGTTTATTATTTTGGCAACCAAAGAGCTCTATTTGTAGTCCGATTTACTACTTGTCCTTTCAATCTAAATTTATGTCAAAAATTCTGATATTTTCTACTCGAGTCTCGGGATCTTGGGATCTATAATCTCTGACTTCCTCTATTTCTTAAACGACAATTAAAGAACGCTGTTAATTGTAGTCATCATCATGCAGTCCATCTGCCGGCATCCATCACTTTTCCCCAAAATAATTGATTGTGGTGTAAGATGAATGAAGTTGAAATTTTATGCGGTAGGTCATCAAAGCCTTCTTGTTCTCCAAGGGGTGGGGCTGTTGCCTGTTTTGGGATAGCGACTCGGAGGAAGATGATCAAGAGAAGCTCTATGATGCATTTGTATCATACTCACACAAAGTAAGTTTAAAATGTGCAATGTAATATATTTTTGCTATAAATATTTGTAATATAAAATATTGACATATTATTATGACGAATGTGCAGGATGAAGACTGGGTTGTCGACGAGTTGGTCAATCGCCTCGAAACAGAAGAAGGGTTTAAGCTATGCTTACATTTCCGAGATTGGACACCTGGTAAATTTTAGTTTAAGGGCAACGTCAAATTTTCTAACAAAACGTTGAAAAAGGGTCTAAGTTGTATTCGCATTATGTCACAGGTGATTGGATCCCGGATCAAATTGTTCGATCCGTAGACCAGTCGAAGCGAACCGTTGTGATTCTCTCCAAGAATTTTGTTGAGAGCGTTTGGTCGCGTCTGGAATTTAAAGCAGCGCATGCTCAGGTTTTTAAGCTTATTAATTACCTACTGAAACTTGCACAATTTTTGTTGCAGTGTTTAATATTTGTATGAATTTTATTTTGTGACAGGCACTTAGTCAAGGGTCTAATCGAGTAATTTTGGTTCTCATCGAGGACGGAATGAATGACAAGGACGTTCAAGATGACGACTTGAAAGTGTACATGAAGATGAACACATATCTTAAATGGAGTGACCCCTGGTTCTGGCACAAACTTAAATACGCTCTTCCCCACCGAAAGGGCAAACAGGAAGAAAATATCAACGTTTTGAAAAAGATGCAGCAGAGGGAAAAAGCCAGAGAACTGGACAAAATTAGAACAAAGTTGGAACAAGTGGTCTGATACTTTAAAGGGGTAAATATATAATACAATAAGAATAATACGACAGAAAAAATCTCGTATAATTCCAGTGGTCTGAAATCAGGTGGTTTTAATACACTTGCGGCGTAACATTTAGTCGCAAGTTCATCTGATTCTAGTTTGCTCAAGAATCAATATTCCTCAAATCTAGTACAAAGATAATTGTTGTTGTGATTGTTAATTGTCTTATATTTGTTATGTTTTACGTGTTTTTGGCGAATTGAATTTTAGTGTGTATACATATTTAATATATTTGTGTGCCATCCCAGAAATTTTAGACAATCAATATTTTAATTATACATATCCAAATATTTTATACAGCGGAATGAATAACTTAGTTTTAAAATAAAGCACAGCATTAAAAAATAAACAGTAAATACATGTATTTTCTTAATTTCTGTCTTTCTGAATCTATAATGTGAAGGTGTAAGTGCATACAGATCTGCAAATGGAATATCACATGCATCAATATATATAGAAAAGTTAATATTGTACTTCTTCAAATCAGTTTACATTGTCATCAACAACGTCACTTTCAGCTCAGCCGAACCTTTGTTTCATAGTTTAAATACCAACTGGAAATGTGCAACTGCTTGTGCAAATAATTATTAAAAACATGAACCAACTAAGTCCACTCAGGTCTCGTTACTCGTCCCCAAAATAATATGCATTTAGCTCTGATGTGATAAATGAAGAACATGAAAGGCTTGTTGGCAATGAATGGAGTGGGAGGATCTTCAATAATTCGGTCTCCAGCGCCCAGTGTGACCGCAGCAGCCTCGGTCCCACGCTCATTTACTTCAATCATCGCTCTATGATGAACAGCAGACACGAAAAGGCCGTCTACAGCAAGAGAATAATTCATTTCTATTTATACATTTACATGCGAAAATTAGGAAGCAAATATGAGTATTAAATGCAACTTTGCACTCTATTCTAACAAAATTATTACCATGCTGCGAAATTTTGGAAAAGTTTGCCCATTGAGCGTGAAACATTGAGGGGATTCCTGTAGACAAAAAATATTTGGATTATGCAACTCTTGAAAAGTGATGTCTTCGAATAATTCCTCCCACAATCTCTTAAACGACATTCATTCGACCCTTTAATGTTCGGAAGGAGGCGTAACAATGGTATCATATGCAAATTTATTTGATGATTTGACTCTTATTATTGAACTTGTGCATAAATGTTACCCATATTCGTCAGAATTTCCTCCATGTGTCCATCGGTGTCAATTTTCATCTTTGGGATTTTGACAGCCACCTTTTTTAACATCATTTGTCTCACTCTTATTTCCAGGTCTTTGGGTTGAAGAATGGATAATCGTTTCTCCAATTGCTGGAATAAAAGCAATTAATTTACCAAAATCTACAACCTATGTCAACAGCATTCATACGGGTGAAGACATGTGTACCTTCAACCCTTCAATTCCGTTAGAGGCTTTTGGCAAGCATGCAAAAAATCCAGTCTGATTGCCCTTATAGGGAATCGCAATCATTTGGTAGTCATCGTTTTCAAAGTAGGGAATAGTGAGTACATTCGTCATCATTTCTGAAAAAATAAGACAAAGTCAGGTCAAGTCACACATACGGAAAATGCATGTATGCGTTTTATTTATTTATTTAGTTTAAATCATAAAATTCATTTCATAATATATTCTAAAGAGGAGGATTTAAATAAAACGATTAGTCACAATTCTTATCCATAATGCTGAATGAGAAAATTAAGGAACAGTCCCCAAACAACTGCAGAGTTCTTACCCACGTCAATTGTTTCATTGGGCTTCACATAGAATGACGCAGTTCTTGTTATTTTCTCCAAAAACGGTATTTCCCAATTTCCCTTAAAGTGAACTGCGTTAACCAAGGCCATACTCGTGTCAGCTGACGGAGCCTTATCGATAATCGACTGTATTTTCCCCTAAACTCACAAAATAATAAATTTTAGTCTTCAAAACTTCTGCAATGATAATATTTGCATAACAATGTCCACTCTTACTCTAGTTTTCACTCGAACCCATTGATTTACTTGATCCTGGAAGTATTTCCCATCGCTGCCAAAGTTGTATGATTTGACAGGTGTGTCGTAGAATTCTAGGGATTCTTTGACATAAGCATTGTCCAATGGAAAATGCTTGTCGGCAAAAATTTGGTTGGCCATCTCAATGGAAATATCCTTCCCAGTTTTGTGACTTAGATATCCTCTCAATTTCTGGTAAGACTGGTGAAATTTTAAAGCCTTGGTGGAATCTAGTGGGTCCAGTCGTAAGACGCTTGCAAGCTCCTACACAACCAGGAAAATTAAGGAATACTAAAAAATGGAGATAACAAATAATTTAATTTAGATAAGTTGCATACATTAAAAGTTCGACCTTGAGCGCCTAGCATCAAGAGTGCCAAGATATTAATTAGGCTGCAAAAAAGAATATGAATTTATGAACAACTACATTTTTCGTGGTAATAGGATTCCGCATTACTATTTTATACATAATTATTGTGTTTAATGTTACGTTGCTAAAAAATACGTGCTGAAGGTCTCACCTTAATGGAGAGAAAATTACGTTTTGATCGCCCCAAAAACTATGTTTTACAATGTCCAACGTGATTTCCATACTTTTAATCAGCTCATTTCTGGAATTATTGGCAGCATGGGACAATTTCTGGAGGTCCCCAAAATCAGTGAAAAAATTATAGTTTGTGCTCTCGGACGGTTTTGAAGTGGTGGCAATGACGGAAGCAAGCGTGGCTGCATCTTCAGGGTCTAATTGCAGACGGTTATTGGGATTTGAGGGGACGTTTGGGTAATGAATGGCCACATGTTCTTTCGTCTGAACTTTGGTGAAATATACATTCGGACTCGTGGAAGATTGAGATTTGCTTTCTCGGAACTCAATATTGTCCTCTGGGGAACGATTCCAAGCTTTGGACTCGAGTTCCCTCGACGTCGTGCGGTTTTCATCTTCAGAACTAAATTCTGACGGCAACAAAGGATATTTTAAAATATTTTCCCCTCTCGAGGATTCCTCCTTATTTGGCCATCTGTGTATGGTAGAACGTTAAATTAGCACATTTAAGTACAAAAGGAATGAGCTTAGTCGAGTTCAACTCACTTTAATGTGTCGGGATCCTTGATCTCATTTTGAAGTTCAGAATTTGCACCATGAACACAGCAATATAGGAAAGAGAACATTAGAACAATGCACTTTTGCAGAGCTGTGAGATCCATCCTTAAGCATATATTGTTCGTTATTCGACACTTTGATCTGTGAAACACCGTCGTTTGTTTGTCAATGCGTATACAGCGTAGAAGATCTAATGTGTCAATCTAATGTTATCAACTTCTAATGGAAAGACAGGTCAGTCGCAAGCGGCATATATGACGTTTTTCAGTTTTCAATATTTTGTCTTTTGTATTGGTGCATCCCCTCAAATCTACCTCATCGTTGTAACCAAGTCTTAATTAATACGTCATTTGTTCCCCTAAATCATTTCACTCTCTGTCGAACGAGGTAAATTATGATGTTAACCAACATGGGAGACGATCGTCAATGTTAAACTTGTGACGACCTTCTGCAATCGATCGATCCCACCCCTCAAAGTCCAATACCTGGAAATACAGTATATAAAAACAGTTCACCATTGAGCTCTTGACTTTTAGAACCCTCCAGTCTCGTCCATTAACGATGAATCTGTGATAAATTGCGTTTTATTGGATTGGATGTTAAGAATAATTACGAAACTGGTCTCGTGGATCCATCACCTTCATTCAACTAATTAGTCTCAAGCAAATCATTCCACTCACTGGACTCGATTAATATTGCTTACTTGCAGCCAAACTAGATTTACATGGCTCATTCATGACGGTGTTAATGTATTGTGAGGAATAAAGTTCGTACAAGAACCAGAAATACAAGTTGGAAATAATTGCAACGAAGCACGATCTAAATCATCTAAATAATATCCTCCTCCTCGTCTCAAAAGTATTGAACATGAAATAATTTGCAATAATTCATTTGCAACAAAAAGTTGTTCTGCGTATAAAAAAACAGCATGAAATTACCTACTCAGGTTTTTGTACTTCTTAAGATGTGGACAGAATTGACGCTTTTTAATAGCAATTTCAAGGGTCTCGGAATGTCGGAAATATTGAAACTGCTACATATCTCACTCGCATGATTCACCTTGTTGTTGGATAGTTTTTACACAAAGTACGTGAGTGCTTACGATACTCAAATACCTTTACATGTAGTTTTCCTTCCTTCCTAAATAAGTTGATCAATGGAACAATGCAGTGAATAGTTGGTTAAAATGATTTTTCCTTATACGCATTGTGAGAGGTTCTCATGCTGATTGTTGGTTGTTCGTAAATTCTCACGACCCAAATAAATGCACGGATCGAGGTATAAGATTAGACATACCTACTCCCCTCATACTCAGGACTCAATACTGGCATTTTACCTGCGCCCATTCTAAAGCATCGCATAATGACTTTTCTGATATAATTAAATATTCATTACATTATCACTTGAACTGTGACGAAGCATGTCCAGTCAGAGCGAGATTTGTGTACATGGCAGTTCAGCATGTGTGGAGACAGTCGGTTTCTTAAGAATAGAAAGGAATGCAAGTCAATATTTAAATAATAATATGTAACGCGTTTGGTTGAAAAAGATTTGTGTTTTAAACGTTAAAAGACATTTTGCTTTATTATTAGGTTTAGTGAGTACTATACGGTTTATAATTGGCACATTGTTCATGCGGCTAATTTCAGCACATTTTCATGTAACGGTGTACACAGTACACTTGTCATAAGCTAAAATTGTGGGGAAGGGATGTATAAAGTTACAAGTAAATATTTTACCCACATACACTTAGCGTCAGTCTCTTTACACACGTATATTCCTACAGTTCTCTTGTACATTTTTAAATAGGGGTAAAATAAATAAATCACTCAATGAAAATAAATTGGAAACAATATATTTTTAAATGTAGTAAAAAAACAAGGACGAAACGTGGATATGCCGTGTCACCACGATTAAAACGAGATTCTATAATTAAAACATTGTCCACAATGGATTAAAGCATGTTTGTACGCATATAATTTACATACGTGTATTACAGCGTGCTAATAAATGGCAACAATATTGAACTGCGTGGGAAAATTAGTAAGAACTAACAGAGGCTCGGCTCATTCTATTAACGCCCAATTCTAAGTGCCCTAGTCCTATGTATGGATTTAGTACTTGGCATAATCGTACATAATCTGTCTCTAGTTGAGTTTGGTAGTCGACTTGTTCTGGTAGAATCATCGCCGCATTTTTAATCAGCAACTCTCTGCAGCATTCCACAAAGTCCCTGAAATAAAAAGTATGCCAATGAAAATTATTTTTACGTTAAAACAAAAGCATTCAAAAATCGAGTTCACAAACCTATATATGGCCTTCAGCTTGTGAATGTCCTGAAAAACAACAACAAAATTCAATAAGAACCAACTTTTTTTAACGCTAAAGATTTTTTAAATATGTTCCTTGGCTTAAATGGTCAAATTGTTTTCATACATATCGACCGTGTCCATTATTTTCATGCTAACTGGAAATCAGCACCTCTCAATCTCAACACATTTTACAAAATTTGCAACGGAATCGTAATTTTTCAATTAAACAGCTACAAAGAACTATGTTTATGTTGGTTATCTGTTCAATGTCTAGACAAAAATATTGCTTATATTTACATTTTATGAAAGTCCTTATTTATCAATCCAAGAAATAGCATACTAATAGTTTAAGAGTACATATTTAGATTACATAAAAATACGAAAAATTACCGATGCTGGATATTCATTTTCCTTTTCCAAAAATGCCCGAACGTATGCCAATGGTCCTTGATTAACCTACACAAATACATAGATCAGTTATCACACGCGCTTATCACAAGTACCATCATGATTGCGCATATATTTTGTAATAACTGTATGTGCATTATTATGTCGACTCACCTGAACGCTTATCGACCCCTGTAGGCGCAACTGAATCCTTTTAATGCATCCTGTGGTGGTTGGGTAAATAAGAGTAAAAATTTAAATAGCTTAAACTAATTAATTAATTAGCTAAATTAATAAGTTGAGGTTGAAACAGACCTGAATTAAACTCTGAACGAAGTTCAAGCACTCTACGTTGCATGTCGTCAATCGCTACAATAATGGGGCTCAGGTCTTCTTCCGTAGATTCCACGACCCGAAGCCTCGACACAACTGCTGGGAAAGTGTACTCCGCTGAAATACAGAACGTGAATATTGTAATAATTAAATAAGCAGCATTATCATTATTAAGTTGTAGGTGATTTGTCTCCCATACTAGTCACTGTAGTCCTCCGCTTCCACTGCTGATGCACCGCAGCTTTATTATCAATACTGATTTTGTCATGAGACTTTACAGCAAACGGAGTGTCATAAGTGAACTTTGAAATATTCTGATGTCTTCTGAAATCCTCAGACCATAATTTCCTACGAGGGCTGCTGCTGGGCAGGGGACTGACATGAGTTATCGTGGCATAAATGTGATCATCGTCTGGAAGTTGATCCACTTCGCCAGAAATTATAATTACATTTTCCGCTGTCTCAACTTTTCCACAGATTTCCATTAGTGACGTGACATTGGGTTCCTTGTAGATGAATACTTCCATAGGTCTCGAAGTGCATTGTTTCTTTGGCCGATAAAAGGCGACGCGATAGTATGTACCTGGAATAGGTTTGTTTAATTACTACACATGCATAGAGAGTTTTGTTTCTAATTTATTTTGCAAACCTACCATGAAATCGTTCACGCTTTTTCTGGATGAGTCCGCAAGCTCGAGCCATTTGGGTGTAGTAATGCTCCAATGCGGCATGGTCGGATGTCGACTCTTGAATATCGACGAGCATTCGATAAACCTGCAAATATGTAAGAGGCATTCAAATAAATTTGTAAATTGAGATTGAATTTATGCAGACTGAAACGATGAAAATTACCTCAAGCATGACTTCGTAACGTTCCGATTTTTCACAGAGGTGTACACATTGTTCCATTCTGTCAATCAGTTCTTCAGTGTAATCAGCCTCCTCCTGATTATCATCTGCTTCTTCTTCAAACTCATCACGCAAGTTTCTCGATATCCCCAACATGACTCGTTTGATCTAAAATAGCCATCAAACGTTACGATTGACATTACTAATTTAGCCAATTCGCACAACTCAGGATCGATTTTGAATGGAATGAACACAAATTATTGTGCACACATACCTCGGCAGACGTTGTAGTTTGTCTAGCAAGTCGTGCTGCGACATGCAGTTCGCACTGGAAAATATTAATAAGAATAGGAAATAATTTTTAGTAAGCAAACCAAATGTCGATTATTAGTCAATTGCAGAGGTGCAGAATTTTTAGGGTCTTCAATGAAGAATGAGGTTCTGAATTTCAATATGAACAAAATTCTAACTCTTGAAAATCGGCACCTCTTGTCAATTGTGGTCGCTGAGAGAGGAATATATTACCATAAGTGCCTCGCTATATTTCTTTTTATTCAAGTGCTCAGATTTCAGCGAGTCAAATGTCTCAATCCGAAGTCTTCCTTTTGCATAGTAAGCATACGAATTTGCCAATTTTAAATACACTTCTGGGATTCGGTATTCATTCGTGCATGCTTTTAGCACCCAGAGTGAGTTCATCACTGTGGACAATCTGTTGGACAAATCGAGTGCAGTCGTAGACACTGTCCGCATAAGTTTATTTTTGATTATTCCGTTTGACACGGGCTGAGAACCGCTGAGCACCAGAGTATTTGCTTTGGAATAAGTGGTACCATCCGCTTCTGACACATCAATAAAGCTCAGTTTTTCCGTAATAGAGAGCATAAAGCTGGACCGATCGTTCACACTCATGTTCCTCTCCAACAAATTTAAAGCTTTTCTAAAATTGTGTACAAAAACTTGATCCAAACTTAGTGATGAGATTGCAAAAAGGCTCTGTGAAGTCGTCCGATTTGGGTCGTTCATAAAAAGCTTCCCCAAAATTAACACGCAAATGTGAATTAAATAAGACGTGCCGAAGCCGGTGAGCAATTCACAGAAAAGTTGATGCGTCAAATCCTCGTTCCCTAATTCAAAAATTAAAGTAATGCAATGAGTACTTTTTACTAAATAAATATGGTAATCGCCGTAATTTGTGAATAAATATATGTGTACCTTTTGCAAAAACAATAGCTGCTAATTCTTCAACTTGTGCTAAATTTTGCAGCGTGCTTAGCATAGCGCGAGTATCTTCTGCTGCTTTTGCAACATTCAAGGATGTTCTAATGACTTCACGCATTTCGTTGTCCTCACCTTTGCACGCACTGCACAAATTGGACAAGGTGTCAATGCAGACAAAGGTCGTTTCCGTATTTAGCGTTTTCCATTCGTTGAATGAGTCGAAGGGTGAAGTATTGGAAGTCTTTCGCGAAGGACTCGTCATCTCCACCGGGTTCCCGTCCACCGCACTCTCTTCCGTAGTCTTGGAAGGGAGTGACGACCACTTTTTGTTGGGCACTGCCGATCTCGGGCTGGGTGGCATCGTGGGAGGAGGTACACTGATTCCCACAATCTATCATCAAAAATAAATCAACAGTTTTACTAAATATTACTAGATAAATAATTTGGACAAGAATAATAAACACTTCATAGATTTATATTTTGTATGTCCATTACTCTTTGAAAAAACTTTATCAGTCTTCTAAACATGTTTTGCAGTTGGCTAATTGAAAATTTCGAGACAAAGCAAAACTTCCGCATTTTAAATTTATTTCAGTGTATGAATCAATTTAGGAAACCATTTTTCTCGTTTACTTTTGCATGTTTGACTATAAAAAAAACATTCTACATAAGACCCAATAACCAAATGATGTAATATAAATTCTTGCGAATACAATTTGTATATAAAACCACATCCTGGATTAAAATGTTTAAATAATAAAGCAGTACAAAATATATATCGCTTACTTTGGTTTTGGTGATGGTACTATTTTTCCTGGCATTCGTAAACTGGACGCACGCTAACAAAACCATTTGAAGCAGAGATGCTCGCTCCTGGGTTGAACTACGGTTCCAAAATATTCTTAGGCGATCATTGCCCATTTTCTTGAGAATATAGAGACCACCAACGAGCAAAGGTCGTGTTTCGTCATCAGCCAGTCTATCAAAAGAAAGTCAGTTATTAAATTACTAAAATACCCCCGCTCTGTAATACTGGTCATTGGCTTCTTCAGTTTCTACTTAATATTATTGTAATTAGTATTTTGGGTAATGGGAATACAACCTTCCCATACATTGACATTGTTATGTTACACTAATTATATCACATTTTATACAGATATTACCTGTCGTAGCGCCTTTGAACAATATTGCTCTTGTCTGCGTCCCCTATTGTTGCATTGGCTACACGTTTCATTGATTGTGAGTCAGGATCGCCTTCACTCTGAGTCTCACTAAAAGCAAAATGTTCGAGACGTTAAACAAACACATTATGTAAATCTTTCTGCACGTAAATATTCAAATCATAATTAACAAGAGCTCACCCCGATCCATTTGAGCCACCTTCATTAACAATTGTGTCAGTGTCGGACCCTCCCGTGGTTGAAGGGACAATGGTAGAAGCGGCTGGATTGGATGTTTTTATGGCAGAAATGGCATCCAGGTAATCACAATTGTTGACACTCCCAAAACTCATTCTGTCCACGCTTAACCGATCTCCGGCAGAAATGGATTCGCCATTTCCGATGGCATTTATATTGACCATGCTGCTGTTTTGACTTATGCTCGGACTCACGCCATTAGGAACGTTAAGACTCAGCGAAGAACTTCGTGACGATTCTGTGCCAAGAAGAGGATGACGAGGCGTGATTGTTGAAAGGTTGATTGTGTTGCTAATTTGACTCCCTTCTCGGCTATGTTGGCTACAACTTGCACCGTGATTATGACCTTCGTGATTTTGTCCTGAAATGCTTTTAATTAAAGCTTGGTGAACAAGGGTGCTCGTCGTGGCAGACAGAACGGTGGACACGGAAGAACATCGAGAAGAATGGTTGACGACTTTGGTAATTCTGTGCAAATTATCGCAAACTACTCTGAGCCAAGGTATCCACATTGGATGAGTAGAGTCACAAGATTCGTGTCTGGCTAAGCCAATCATGATAACTTTGAGGGCTTGACATCGTACGTTTGTAACCTCTGTTAGTAAAAAAGTAGATAATTGCTCATTTAGTTCAACATAGTTTTAATTATTGGTCAGAAATAGAGCATATCGGTGTAAACATGTTCAATATGTTACCTCCCAAGCCGCTGCGACATTGTTTCATTACAGTGGCTGCCAGAAAATGCCTCTTGCACCACAAACAATGCTCGAGTCTGAAATGAATAGCAATTGAATAAAATGTTGTTCACTTGTAAATATTTGTGGGGAAACAAACCTGGTGTACTCCTCATCCCCTTCAGCAGAATTTAGTTCCAGGAAGAGCGGGTGCTCCACAAGGCTCTGGAGCATATTGAACTTAAAATCCTGGACTTTGTGGGAATCCCCCGGACCAAAACAGGCCAGATAGGCGTTGATGGCAGCAAATACAACATGTCTTTGAGATACGACGGACAGTAGAGCGGAAATGAAAGCAATCTCATTTTCATTTGCACCACGAGACAACGTTTGATCTCCAGACTGACACCTGAAATGAAGGAAATAAATTTAGTTTTGCATCCTCCCTAGCAAGAAACACTGACTGGTTTTCACGTACCGGTGGACTATTTCCGAGGTAAAAAGTTGAACCAATTTGACAAGTTTGGACTCTTCAGGATTTGCTGGTGACTTAATTCCTTGAACTGCGATGGACTTGACAATCATGGAGAACAGATTCCGCGAGTGTTCCAGAGAAGAAGCAATTGTTGCTCCATCGCCAGTTTCAAACAAGTCAATCCAAGCGTCAATCAAGGTGTCATTCACTGCAACAAAGAAAATCGCATCGTTACATGAGTTGCATCTTCACGTAGATAAATACAATAGGGCATTTATTGCACCGAAAACGGAAGTAGCCGAAAGCCGATTTGTGGACGACAGACTCAGCTATTTTTAGAAAACGCATCCCCTTCATTTCAGATCTGTTCCAACTTGTACCAACGTGCATACAGGCTACAGCTCATTCATACATATATATGTTTGTACATCGCATTCAACGAGTGTAGTATTTTGTATAAAAAATTTTGTAATTAGTAAATTAAAATTTTGCAAAAATGGATTCAAGCCTAGCGAGCTATCGAAAAGTTTGTAGTCGAGTAACTCTTCAGGAGAAGCGAGAGGGGTTTTTTTTCTCCTTGGTGGACACGCTGTCAGAAAATGTTGACATGGACCTATTTGCCAAGTGCAGTACAGATTTTGACCGTGCAAAATATGTGGCCAACGTGTCGTGGAATTTCATCGGAGCTCAGTTGATCTATCGAGGCAAGAAATTGGAAGAAGCCGTCAAAATGAGACAACAAGGAAACACATTTTTTGAGAAGGGGGACCTTCCTAAAGCATTATTGTACTACTCCCAAAGCATCGTCCAAGCCCCCGTTGGACCCGAACTGGTGTCCGTGTACACAAACAGATCTGCCCTATTCAGAAAAATGGGCGAATATGAGCTGGCGATTACGGATGCTGAATTAGCAATAAGCTATGGAGCTCCAGAAAACACAAGGTAAGTGTGATGATTATCCATACTTTCATTTACCACCTTATCAACTTTATTAACTTTCCTTATTAAATATGTATGTCGCTGATACGCATGTATGTACATGTGCAGGCACAAGCTATACGAGCGGATGGCATCCTGTTATTTCGCCACGCAAAATTATCACAAAGCCAAAGTAATTCTGAGATTAGCCAAACACTTTTCTGAAAAGTATGAAAAAGACGACGCCAAGTTTGCTCAAAAGCTGGAGAAACTTTCAAAAGCAATTCAATCAAAGGAAGCCCATGAAAACGAAAAGTCGGATAAAAAGGCAATCAACAAAAACGAGGACAAGGAGAACGTTTCGTCACCAAAGTCGTTTAAACCAGGCAAGAAATTCACCGCGGCTTCCAACAAATTCGACGCAAAGTTCTCTCCAGGTCTTGGAAGGTACGGGTTTGCCAAGCATGACATTGCTGCTGGCGAAGAAGTGTTGCGAGAAAAGCCGTTTGCATCCTGCCTCTCACCGGATCGGATGGGCACCTTTTGTCTTTATTGTCTCCAACGTTTGAAAGCACCCATTGCGTGTGACACTTGTGCCAATGTGAGCAACGCCAAAATGCAACCCTCACATATTTCATGGTACTATTTCTTGTTTCCTTGTTAAATTGATTTGTCAACAGGTGGCATTTTGTTCACGGGAATGCAAAAAGTTGGGAACGGTGTATCACCAGTACGAATGCCGAATAATGAGCATGTTGATTGGTTCCGGAATGAGTATCAATGCCCATTTGGCGCTACGAATGATTACACAGTCCTCAGTCGAGGACTTTAAAAAGGTAAATTCTCAATCGGTTCTCGTAATAAATGCAGCGCAGATAATAACGGTTGGTATACTCAATTTTTACGTACGAATGTGTATGCTTATGTAGATTATCCCACAATTAGAGGTCAACCCGGAATCCATTCTGACCAATGCTGATGATGGAACATCGGACACTTCGTACTTGGGAATATACAACCTGGGCGGCTTAGAAGACCAAAGACCTCCAGAGGAATTACTACAAAGAACAATAATGGCCGTATTTCTCGTCAAATGTCTTCGACTCGTGGGGTATTTCCACGCAAACTTATTTCAAAACCCAAACCCTTCAACGGACGAGTTTCACATAGCCGCACTTATTTTGAGAAACCTACAAGTTGTCCAATTCAATGCGTATGAAGTAAGCGAATTCCTGATGCCTGAAAAGACAAATTATAAAAAGAGTATCACTTCCAGCATTGGTTTGGCAATTTACCCCACAGCTTCGTACTTGAACCACTCATGTTATCCCGACGTTGCCAGGTAAGATTTGCGCCTAGAATTTGTCTTTGTGGAGTCGCATCGATGGAGTTATGAGAAAAGATGGATTTTCTTTGCAGATATTTCATTGGTACTACATTAGTTGCAACCGCAACTAAAAGTATAGCAGCCAACCAACCCATATGTGACAACTATGGACCTAATTTTATCAAAGTATCTAGAGATGACAGGCGTCTCAAATTAAATGGACGCTATTGGTTCCACTGTTCATGTGAAGCTTGCGTTAACAACTGGGAAACACTTGCAAAATTGGGCGTGAATGAACAACCAAAAACTGCCGAGCAGGAACAAGCTCTTGCAAAGTTACAAAAGATGGAACCTATTTTTGAGGAAGCGGTGAAAATGATGGAATCGGGACAGCCGGAAGGTGCCCTCAAATGTCTAATAAACTATGTCCAAGAAGCCGAATGTATTCTCTCCAGTCATAAAGATTCTTCCTTTTATCCGTACAAAACCATGGTGTTGGCGCATCAAGCAATGAATCTTTGTTACTGCAGTTTGGGAACAGTGCATTTGGCCCCCAAAGTGACCGAAGACATTCACAAATCTTGAGATAACACGATATTCAACACGGCTCAACTTTTTCATGCATATTGACAATATGAAATCTGCAAAACAATAAACTTATTAACTTACGTATCTGGTGCTTAATTTTGTTGCTCCCAACGTTTTCTTGACATCCTGATAAAAAGCGGAAACGGACGTACTGCTCAATAACGTTGTCGAATCCGGCTTCGATCAGCGTGTGGAATGCCGAAATGAAAAACTTGAGACACGCAGTTCCAACCACTTTCGAAGTTGAGGCAATGTTACAAATCTGGTTGAGGATGGTGGGGAAGAAATCGCGAAGGGTGCAAAGATCCATGGACTCGAGTGCTTTGAGCATTTTAACTGTAGTTTCGTCATCACAGTGGAATTTGCTGGAGCTTTGTGGCTTCTGGAAAAACTTTTCGGCATGGGTAAAAAATGCCCCAAGACTCCCACACTTTGTCCACACGGTGGATATCAGATTTAATCTCACTGCAGATTTTATAAGGACAATAAAGCAATAAATTAATCTATATTCCGGCTACAATTTTATGGGCATTGATCCAAGAACTACTTTTAGTAAAATTACCTGTCATTGAACATTTACTATCCAACCAAACTATCTCGGGGCCAGAGTACTGAAATAATTAAGATAACAAATTTCTTATAAATTAGTATGTTATTTGAGAAATATAATAGTGTAAGTTTCGTAAGAGGTTAGATTTTTAAAGATTAAATGGTTACTGAGATAGCATTGCCACGTTATGGATAGTGATTTACAGCAATGCCCGTGTTATTAGAGGAAGAAGTGCAGCAAGCGAGAAAACTTTAAAAGAGCCAAAGTCGGCAAAAGTGGAAACCAGTGAAGCAATTCCATTCATTCAAGTCGTTCAGGTCACACTCGGCCAAGGCATTTGTTTCCAGTTAACGTCATTCTTAGGATTATATTAAGTGAATTGAATGGTCTTGCAGGTCACATTGTAGCAACAATATTCCCAGGAGAAAAAGTTAAGAGAAAAAGAGACTGATTTTATTTACAGCAAGAAGGACAAAATTGATAGCGGAAGTAAAGATTGATATTGATTTCTCATCTCATTCGCACGTGGTGACTTGCCTGAGATATAGTTTGGCGTTTATTACGATTACGCACAATATTGAGCAACTGAGGTAGAGCTCCAATACCTGAAGACCTTTCGGTCGGTACTTCGTCGTCATACGGGCTCTAGGCAATTAGTTCGAAAATTAGTGGACAGTTCAGATATAAGACAAAGAAATTAATAAAACGGACACGGTAAGAATTTGGAGAATTTACACACGGTAACAGAGGGGGTGATAATAAGAATAAGTATTTATGAGTATTTTATAGACATATGTACATGTATAATCTGACTGACACTCCATCTTATATTGATCCATACAAATCAACGCTGTTTTAAACATGATTTCGTGTGAGTTTACCTCATCTCAATCAAGACATTTTCAAATGAGACTAATTTCATAATCCGCTATTTTACCTTTGAAACAAAAATGTTTGTTGTTAAAAACGGTTTCCTTCATTTCATATTCTGCTGATAATACCATATGTACGTGCATAGAAACTGATCTGCTGCTCAACATGCTGTGTATTCAATTTCTGTGGCATGCAAAAAAGCAGCCTGCGCATTAAAATTGCATGCAAGGCAAGAAGTTGGAAACATGTAGGTACTTTTATACGTGCACTACTGTTATTAAAATAAAGAGCGTGAAAGAACACGAAATGTAAACCATTGATACCAAACTGCGTGCAAAAAACATGTAGGAGCAAATAAAACTGCGCAAATTTTTAGGAAATAGTGCTTCGTTTTTTTAATAGTGTTATGTATATACCTAACAATAGTTTACGGTAACAATAAACGGAAACCATCAAGGTCAAAAGGAGCAGGGTTAACGGGTGAGTGGGTGGTGTCAGCCATGCACCCGTGGTTTGCATAATGCAACTCACATGCATCAATCTCATTCATAATGCTCATAAGTTATGAATCATAACCGATCTGATGGTTACATAAACACTGAAATGTCGAAATGCTCACCCCTTTTCCGAGTCCCAAAGGTTGAATTTGAAGGTAGCCAGAGGGCAAGGAAGCTGCTACCGGAAGTGTGTGATCTCCTCCAATAAATCGATATTTATTGAGGAGCGGAGCTGTACATAAATTAAAACTTTTAGTGAGTACAAGAAATTATTAATAGTCTCATTTTCCCCTTCCAACTGGTTGCCCATTTTGTGTTGGTTATTGCGTTGTAAAATTCAACGTAATGACCTTGCTATGCTATTGATAAATAAATAAATCACTTACCCCACGCATATCCGATAACGTTTTCCACTTGCTTGCTTTTTGTCGCCTTATCGAAGGAACACGAAATGTGGTAAAACTGGAACAGCAAGTGGAGGCGCGGATCAAGTGCTACTGGGAGAGCTATTTTGACCTCGCTGTACCATTCAGGATTTGTTCGGTGGTGCAAAACAAAGGTCGAAATGCATCCTTTTACGGGACTCTGGTCCAATGCTAAAGATTGAAAAAACGGTTTAAAGATGAATTCCAACGAGCTATTTACGTAGGAAATAGGTACAAAAAAACTTACGACTAGCTTCAATATCGTCCTCTGCTCGAAGAAAGACTCGGCACATGATATTTCTCGCCCGAATTTTACCAGTAACAGCACTCAAGCTCAGGCTGATTGGGTAAACATAAAGCAGGTGAACGAATCGTGAAAAATTATCGGAGGAATTAATTGGGAATTCGATGATGGATAAAGGCGAACTCTTTTCATCCGCTTTAACAGCAAGCTCGTGAGGCCCCGTGGGTTCCACGTGTATTTTGACAACGCCTGGGACGATGGTTAGCTTGGCCACCTTTTCAGGCTTCTTGATGTCAGCTAAGGTTTTCAGGAGCTCTTCCTCCGTGTACTTCTCGTATTTGTAAAAGGGGGTGAAGGAGGATTCTGCGTCCAAAATGTAGCCTGTCCCTTCTGAAGCAATGGATCCAGATTTCTTGAATAAGCACCGTGAAGACCAGCAAAGTGCCATTCGATACCTGGCATAAAATATACAATTGTGATGAAACGGCTTTGCGGATAATAATTGAGGAAATTAGAGCTAAACTAGTGAAAGAGTTCCACGTCAATGAGTTTGAATATATGAATAATAAATTACTTTTGCTCGTCAGTGAAAAGGGGGGAGGAAGTCAACTGCTTGGAAATCCGAGTCCCTGTTTTGGCATCGGGATTGCCTCGAAAATAAGCGTCGTTATCCACAGCTTGAAGAGTCTTCTCAACTCGGACGATGACAAAAATTTGCTCATTCGGATCACTTACTTTAAACAAAGCCTGCAAGGAGTTCTAATTTCAGATAAAACTTGAAGAATATTTGTACTGAACTTTGCAGGGAAAATGAGAGAACTAAGATGTATGTCAAACCTTTTTTTCTTCAACGTGTCCATTAATGTCAACGGTGGACCTGAGATCTTCCGAGATCTTCTTCCCATTCTTAACATCATACAAACTGATGGACAAGAAGTAAGGTTCTACCGGCATTCCAGTTTCTGTCTTCAGCCGAAACTCCAAAGTCTCAAGTCGAAGTGTGAAATATGTGGGGACTTGGTCATCCCTGATTCTTGGAGCATGTTTGCTTCGAGATTTTAATGAAAAATCATCAGATGTGTCCACCTGCAAGCAATTTGTGGTAAGTTTTACGTAAATTAAAGCACAATAACAAACTACTGTCATATTTACTCGTAATCTGATAAATATGTATATCTAACACTAGTTACAATACAATTACACAAGGAGAAGAGAAAGAGACCGTAGCATGGTATCCTATTAAATGTGCAATTTTTGGACCAAGAACAAAGACTTGTGAGAATTTCTTTATTCTCGGACAATAGACTTTTGAGGTGAAACAAGTTGTTGGGAACAAAAGCAAGACAATAAAACAGTGCGAATACGAACAGAACAAAACACTTTGTCTTATTTCGAGAACTTACTTTAATTCGTACTTTTGTCCAAGATCTGCCATTTTTAATTGCACCACAACTCTGAAATATGTTATTTTGAAAATAAACAAAATCAATTCATTAGCAGGAAGTTACGGGGAGGGTTTAAATCTGAAATAATTGATGCTGGTTATTAATTGCTTTCTACAACTCCACACAACTCACATCATGTTACGCTTCATTGGAATTGTAGCACACGTATTGTCAGTTGGCAAATAAATAATGAGGGTAAATTAGTGTGTGGCCATTGATTAAAAATAAATGATTCAAATAAATCTCCACTCGAAAAATAAACTAAAATAAAATAATACATAACGAGGAAATTTCCATTGGAATAATTGGTAATCATCTTGTCCTAAATACAAATGAATCAATAGTGACGTCTATTTAATCTTTTAATTATTCGACTTTCTCCTCCATAATGAATCCTGACTGACTGAAGGTTACCCTTTCTTATTAAATTGAAGGTATAGTAATAAAATTGGGCAGTAAAAGGATTCAACTTCTTACCGTCGCACGTTGAAAGAGCTGCAACACGTTTCGAGCTCTCTCTACGTTTTCTCGAGACGCCAAGCTCGCAGATTTTTCATAGCACCCTAACTCCACGCACACCGTGTACAGGTCTCGCAGGAAACCTCGTTTCTGTTCACTTTGCACTGTCAAATGTTCATTTATCGTCAACTTGTTCTCCCCATGCCAAACCGGGTCAGCGTTGGCCAGGTCCAGTTTGCATACAAGGTTTAGTCCAGCCTCCAGGGTCCAGACTATTAAACTGAACTTTTCTTCCCCATCCTCCCATTTCAATTGGAGGAGTCGTTCTCCCAAATTTTCCTGTTTGTAAATCACCCCCACTCGACCCTCGAGAGCAATCCCCGCCTCGTCCAACTGGATCCCACGACTTTGGGACCACACGTTCCAAAACCATGGGGGAGCTTTTGCACTATTGGCGTCTCCATTTGTACTGCTACCATTGGTGATTGGCGAACCGGAGGAATTTACGCGACGTATTTGCGGCACGGTTTTGCTGATTATTGTGCTGGGACCATTTCCTACTCCATTGGGAAAGAGAGATTCTGGCTTTTTTGGTTTCTCGTTGTAATTAAATTCGTCATCAAGTTGGTCGCTCAGTTCCAAGTAGGGGGTGGAGTACGTCTTTAAGCATTCTCTAACAAAGAGGTTGCAGTTGTCCTCCAGATCTTCAATTGCTTCCGAGCTACTGTCTCTCTCAAATGCGGCCGAATCATTTGCGACTCTCTTTAGTGAGAAATACTTTTTGGGTGAGTATTCTGTGTCAGTTGTACAGTCCACCAGGAGAGATTTATTCTGAAAATAACAGCAAATTCAGTAATTAATACAAATGTATTGACAAGGACAATTAGAAATACGAGCAAGAAACATACATCTGTACAACGAGTTCAATAACATGAATTTATAGTGCTTATTGTTTTTTTGTAGACACTTTCATTATTATGAAATACTTATTTATTACTGTTTAGTCAGTCTGTGTTACTAGTAGAGTTGATAGTAATTTCTCTGATTTCTTTGAATATGTAGACCATTTAGAGCGACGCCAAATTTGTATTTCTTACTCAATATTCCCACACCTTCACAACTTGTTTTCAAATGTCCAAGGCATATGTGCACACAAGTCGAAAATGAAAGCTGTCCCTGGTGTATTATGTGAATGCAATTCCAAAAATCAACTTCACCGTTTATGCTCGCATATGAATGCACGTACGTAATGAAAGAACCTGTCGTTGATGTAGGGACTCGATACCGTCGGTCGATACGATTGATCTCTGGGTGGCAATATATTTGGTTATGGTAAACTCTTGCTGATTGTGATTCATAGTATGCGATCAACAAATGCAGTCTTCCTCAGCATACTGATAAAATCAAATCGATTGTTAATCGAGATTGGCAGTGAAAATCTTGATTACAAATTCAGCCAGCATAATTAATATAAGAAAACAGGAATTTATTGCTACTGTCAAAAGTATAATGGTATAAAAGTGGTGAGAATTTTTCATGCTTCCCGTGTGCAATGCAATGCAAACAAATGATCAAGTGCAGTGTTTTACTGAATTGAGCGGATGCGATGAGACTAATCATTTTATCTCCGAAAATTTTAACAAAAAGATGACAAATGAGGTGGCTACTCTGTTTTGTCGCAATCACGATTTGACGATTTATGAGATGACTCAATAAAATAGTTTTTCTCATGGCTAATTTATTTTCTGTGCGTAATAACTTACTAACACCAAAAGTTACCATTATTGTGTCATTCCAAGCAAAGAAACATCTGTCACAAGAATTTTTAGGAACAAACCCATTTCCTCTTCAACAAACTATTTACAACATTGTTATCGAAAACCAAACATTTATCCAATCATCTTTTTTTAGAGTGTCATTATTATACACGAGAAGTAGTGAAAGTTACAAACAAACCATGCAGTATCACTTTGAATGCAGTGCAATATTTAAATTTAGCTTTTTACACACGACTCATAACGCTAATGACTTGCATTAAGAAGCATCTTGTGCATTGTTGGACTTCAATTGGGCAAACATTTTATGGTTACCATTCCGGTCACGCATTCTGCAATCTATACCTGACCACCTGACCGCAAACTTAATTTGACATATTTATGGGACTTTCCGAGCCCGGGCCGTGAGAAAATTAAACTTTACCATATTATTAGAAACAAATAACAATGCTATCATTGTCAATGATCTTCTGATACGTAATATTTCATTTTTAATATTTCCCTATAACTAGAAATTAGGATTCGATCCACGATGTAAATATTGTTATTTATTTGTTATTAATCTTCCTTCTGCATTGTGTGAGCTACTCGTAATAAATAATAATGTATAATATAATTTTGGTAGTTATTTTGCCGAGTGAAATCGAAACTGCAAGAAGGAACACAACAACAATGCGGAATAATAGTGGCAGGCAGTTGTCATTCATTAGACAACAGAGTTTTTTGATTATGGTGATTTTCATTACCGCTTTGATGCCAAAGTGTCCAAGAACAGTCGAACTCCCTTCGAACGAGTATTTCCCATTCTTTGTCAAGTTCAACTTGCTCCTAATCCACGTTTTCCATATATTCGCTTTCCCTTGAATGGTCCCACCTCCAAAAGATTTGTTGTTTGTTTGCAAATTAACACTTTGCGAGAATAATGGAGGAGTTGAGATGTTATTGTTACTGCAAGGAACAGGGGGTGCAGAAATGCTACTACTTTGATAAGTGAGTTGAACGACTCTGCTACTTTCAGGAAGTAGAATGTCGTCATCATCCCCTCGAACCTTAGTGCTACAAGCGTGACCAAGTTCCACGACGCAGTCCGGAGCGTCGCTCCCACAACTGCTCGAACTCGACGAAGACGAAGACCTGCTGGAACTGCCACTGCTCATGGGGGACCCGCTGTTGTAGCCGGATTCTGCCGCTGGGGATGAGCTAAACTTGTCATTGTTCACCATCCCTGCACAACTTATGTCCACCACGCTTTTGCTGCGTTTCTTTAGAGAAAAATCCTCCTCATCCCCACTACTGTTTATTATATTCACTCCGCTTTTGTGCTTTTTATTCTTGGAAAACGGGTAATCGTCGTATAAATCATTCTCGCACATTTCACGGATACCGGTGAGTCTTGAGCGTTCTGCAGTTGTGGATAAAAAATCCGCCGCAGACGTTCCAAGCGTTACAACGGTCACAAACGGCATTTTAGCAACAGCGATACGACTCTGAACTAGGAAACTTTAGGCGTCATGCCCCCTTTTTAACTTTTTGTGCAATTAAAAATACAGTTCACAGTTTCCGACATTAGAAATGTTTAGGATTTAAACTGCACGACAGCCTTGTCTCAAGGCTGAGGCGTTGATATCCACATGGTCGAAATATACAAATGTATGTAGGTTTTCAGACTAAACAACTTTTGACTTTGTTTTAGTCGAGTTTCACGGCTTAACTACCAACTCAAACACAACTGATGATTAGAATTTATTATTTTAAACTATTGTCGTGCACTATTGCACCTCGTCAATACTTTTATGTATCTGGTTGTTTGTACAAGAAGAACAACAACAGGTTGCAGCTTACTGGTCGAGTTTCATTACTTGAACGTTGTTTGAATGAATGAAACCTGTCCTTAATATTGACAGTTAGGTTCTTTAATAACACGGCAAAATTAAATGGTAAAAGTTGTCATACTTTGCATACGGTGAGCGAGTCTCTAAACGTAAGCACATGAACATGATGCGCCAACAAGGAGAAGTTTTACACTGCCAGTTATTAAGCTCTCATCATCATCTTCTAGAGTACCCAACAACGATCGCTCCTACCTGTTGAGATTGCCATCGTTTTGAAAACTACTTCCTTCGTGCAATACCATTCCTTCGTGTACAAAAAGAAGACCCAACCTTTTCTTGCTTGTGTACTTATTGTGTCAGTCTTCAGTAGTACGGACGGACGTGAGTGCGTAAAATATCAGGTGCAAACTCATCATACTGCATATTTGTCCGCAGTGGTGCCAGAGGGGAGAGAAAATATGTATTGCTCTCTTCCGATAAAATAATGCCAAATATGAGTTATTGTTATGAATTCGAATTTTAATATGCATAAAATGGAGGCATGATTGACCCTCCCATAATAACAAATGCGTACATATTAAGTATTTCGGTTACAGATTAAGGTGTGCCTTTCATACGGAAGTGGAATGGGAAAGGCGAGTCATTTTCTTTAGGAACATGACATTTTCAGTTCCTCAGGCGCGACGTCGTTTTGAAGGGTTCTTTCGACCTTAACCTTCCCTTATGTATAACGCATACAAAGCGTATTTACAAGTGAAACACGAATTCTAGACTAAACGAGGTAAACCTCTGGTCTGGTTGGGATATGAATGCAGAGCTAAATCTTTAATTTAGGGAAGTAGTTAGCTACCTTATAGTTAATTGCACGTTTGCTTCTTCCGCTGCCATTCAACATGTTTTACGTATCAATCAAAAAGCAGGTTCAGTTTTCAAATCCCTTGTTTAAGAGATTTTACAATAAATAATAACTCGCCATTCAATCCCACAAGTGCTAAATGTACAGTATGCAATGGAAATTGCAAGTTGCAATCCATTTGCATACACACATTTACATCCATAACTAAAACTTGATTCAAAATTGGATTATTTGCATACATGAGGAAGGGAAAGTAAAAACTAATGAAACCAGCAGCAGTTTATCGTACAAATTATAAATACTTGAAATTGACCTGAAATAGCTTGGAAAATCATTTTACTTTTCAACGAAGCAGCTCACCGATTATTCTTAGCGTGTGTTGCTCCTCGTTGTTAAAAGGCTTGTTCGGTATTATAATTCCAAGAAATAAATTCCTACGAAGTTTATAATTGGTAGTAACAAGCATATCAATTTTGTCAACTGTATCATGTAAAGACGGAATATTACACAATATCCTGAGCTGTTTGGAAATGCACTGGTTTCTTTTGTCTCTAATAAGTCTACATAGTGACAGTAATGAAATGCACTTTCACTACTTTTGTGGAGTATGCGTCTTTATTGCATTATGCCAACACACAATTTGTTCACACTAGACAATGGGCGTAAGTTAATAACAAGAATGAAAGCCGAGTTGAAGCCCATGATTTCCTTTTTAGGAACTCTAAAATATGAAACATACCTCAACACATACACAAATTATGCAACTTATGTTTAGGAATATAGTAATAACAACAATTTAGTAGTTTTAGATTACGTGCTTAACTGGATTAAAAGCCTAATTGTGCTTGGCGAAGACAATAAAAGTGGCGATTTGAAGCATGTGTGACTCGCTTCCAGCAATGCAATTTGCTTGAAGTGCATAACTCTCATTCAAACGGAGCTAGTTCCTTTAATCAAAATCTCAATTACACCTGTGCAGAATTTTTCCTGATAATATTGGAATTCTTAAAAAAAATACTGCATATCGTATTCCTAATAACAATATGATGAATAGCAACATTTGGTATCATTCGATATCAATATCTGACATGTCCTTCGGTTTCAAAATAAGTTGTCAGTAATCATTGCAAGAGAATCTTTTGAATTCTCAAGGAAGGAGTTTCGTGATGAAGCATATGGACGTTTCGTTTTGGGAGCTGTTCGCATCTTGTTTCTGATTCTGCCATAAAATATGTATTCTTGACGTCAACAAGCAGTGTAACAAGGCTTGGATGTGTAGAATATATTAAGATATTTAATTTATTGATTACATTAATATAATACACACTATACGTGAATTTGCCTGCTTATTCTAAGTTTAAGAAAACA